GTAATTTGGTAATATCAACTAAGTTGAAATTGTAAATTGGCTGCCATAAAGAGTTAAAAAGCTGATGTTTTGAGCATTAGCCCTTCGTCATTCACTCTGACGAAGGGCTAACGCTCGAAATGTCAGCTTTTTAACTTTTTATGGTGGCCAATTTACAATTTCAACTTAGTTGATATTACCAAATTACAATTTTTTGCAGTTTCTTAGACTTTGCCGTCTAATATGTAGTGACACTTCTGATTTTTCTAACAAATCCCCCTGAGCCAATGTTCTAGTTATTCAAAAAACCATCTTGTTGGTTTAGGCCAAACTTGTACATACCTGCCCAGATGGTGTTAATGTTCTGTACATCAGACTCCAAAAGTGCTACAACTTTATTGAACACACCATTGGTGCTACACAACATGGCATTATGCATCGAAAACTTGCACAAGTGTTTGATAAATTCTGTTACATGTCTGGAGTGAGAAAGGAGACAACAAGAAAAAATGTCAGTTGTAGTGGAAAATAAACAGACACTTTGTTGTAAGCTCTCTGATGGACACTTCTTTGAAATATTTAATTCTTTCAAAAGATGAAATGTTTAATTCTTTCAAAAGAAACTTCTTTCAAGAGACAACACTATTGTTTTTCTATACGTTAAAAAAAAAACAGCAGCACTGTTTTTACCTCTTATTTTCCGCTGATAAAGATGGAAGCCAATCCAGAAGAAGTAACACAACATCAACATTGTTTATCACTTGGTTTTCTTTACTATAAATCCCTTCCACTACCTATAAACAAAATAAATGTATGCGAGAGGGACAGATTAACAATACAGTTTTTTAAACGTACAAAACTAAATATGGCTTAAAAACTGAAAAAAATTTCAGTGACTCTGAACCGTTCCCAGAATCTTTCTCGTATACTTGTCTGTTGATTTTCTTTTCTAACTTATGATCAAGACAGAGTTTTTTTCACCCTTGTATCACCACTGCTCTCAGGTAACTTGTCAATTAACAATTTCAATCCCAAGATCTCAATGATGTTGTCTTTTGATATCGTATTGATATCATAAGCAGAAATTCTTTGTGAATCGTAATGTGTCCATTAAAGGGTCACACAAATAACAACTAAGAAATATGCTGACAGTACCTACCCAGTTGAAAAGGAGCTGAATGAATTCTTTTGACGGGGAGTGAAGTCTTCTTAAATATCTACAAAACCTTTCAAACCCCACACTATCTTTAAACACTTCCTGAAAAATATCCATAAATTTAGCAGTTTGTCTTAGATAGTTCAAAATTAAATGATTTGTAATTTAGCAGTGAGTCACAATCACAAAGCGGCTCTTTGTCCACCAAAAATGCTTGCCTGGTTTATTTAAATTTAGGTGTGAAGAAGGAAAAAAAACCCAAGTTGAATATTCTATAATTTGGATCAAGGAAGTCTTCATGAATATGTAATTTGGAAGACAAACTAAACAAGGAGTTGTCCTGAGAGCAATTGAGGAAAGCTGGAAATGTAGGGATAACATTTATTATTTTGAAGTTGTCCTTCATTCTATAGCACATTAATTAAATGGATGATGCAATCAAGGCCTTAAGTAATTGTATTACTTTTTTTATTGCGAACTTTCCTTGATCTGTGGCACTGTCAGGGAACGTACAAAGAAAATATGCCATGATGGAGAAAAGTAAGGGGAATACACATACAGCAGTTAGAGTGCATTTGTTACTCCAGAGTTCCACATGGTAACCACTGAGGCATGGCCTCCTGCACTCTCTCTATAACCTTGTATGACTAATTAAAACATGTCATTGATTTAAAGTACCTTTGCTGCTGGTGATGCACACATGATTTTTTGAATTGCCAGCACACAGCTCTTGTACAGTGCATTTTGTGTGTCTTCATCCTCACACTGTTGAAATGATTAATATCAATATCTGATAAATCTTGTTGCCCTGTTAAACTGGAAGTAGATGCCACTTTAAATTCAAGTATATTTCATAATTATTGCAAACCCCCGAGTGAGTGACAGGATCCATATTTCAAGTCTAGGAAAATTTTGAATTAAAAGCATAGAAAAATAAGCATAAATGAATTATTCTATGTGCTGAGGGGGGGGGGGGAGAGGGCTGTCAATCAAATAAAACATTTGCATCATGGTGCAGACTACTAGAAACTGATTTCAGATTAATCTTATAGATCAATGCTAAAAGGACAGCAGCTATTAAAAAGGTATTATTGTTAAATTTAGCTGTAAGCCTCATTCAGAAGGTTTCCTGAACACCTGACCTCAAAGTTTAAAATGGATATGATGTCTTCAAAGCTTTCAACTCCAACAAAGATAGCCTGTTGAAAAAAAAAAATCATGTTCTTATTACAAAAGGTCATTTTACCTGGACAATAAAAATCAATAGAATCTGCGAGGACTCAAATAATTCAGAGAAATTTGTCTGAGTGGTTAAAATTAATAAACAGGGTAAGTTTCTAAAGAAACTGGGGTGCAACATTGATGGGAGTAGCGAGGTAATTTGGTTCTATCAACTAAGTTGAAATTGTAAATTGGCCACCATAAAGAGTTAAAAATGTTTCGAGCGTTAGCCCTTTGCAAGGCTGTGCTCTAAGAAAAATTGAAGAGAGCCCAGTGCTCAGAAACTGTGAAATCCAGGGTGCCCAGTATATGCTTTTTATGAAAAAACTAAGATTCCTGAGTTGCCCAAGAACAAATGTAAGGCGCCAGGGGGCCACTGGGCGCTGCTAGACCACAGCCCTGCATTGTCATTTGCTCTGATGAAGGGCTAACACTTGAAACATCAGCTTTTTAACTCTTTACGGTGGCCAATTTACAATTTCAACTTAGTTCATACATTGAATTACCTGGTTAAAACTAGAAAGACTAGTATCTAATTTCTCCTTACAGCATCACCTCTCAACGAAACATTAAGGTCAGGAGAATATAGGAAATGATCACCAACTACAGAAGCTCTTGATTCTTAAACAAATTCTCCTTGTCAGCACCTTGGGAAATGTATAAAGAACAGTATGGAGAATATGCATACTGATGTCAAGGGATTATGGATTAAAAGCCTCTCTGAGTCACCTGAAGAACTGCTGAGTCATCACAATCCAGAATCTTAGGAATTGCATCTGGATATAAGAAAGAAAATTTCTTGATCAACCAATATTGCTAAAAAGAGTTAAAAATATTTGAGTTTTTATTATTATAATTTCAGTTGTTATAGCTTTTAATCAGACGTCACTTACCCACCATGAAGACAGTACTTGAGAAATGAGCTTGTAATCCTCTAAAATTGTTCATAAACACACACAAAAAAACTTCTAATCATTCAGTATTCAACAATGAATCACTTCTGTCAAATGTTAACAAAGGGTCTTTCTACGCTTGGGGACAAAACTAAAATTGTCCCAACAAAATCAAAGGACAAATTTATCCTGCCAAATTTTTTTTTTAGCCTGTTGCATCTGCATTAAAATTTTAAAGCAGTCAAATTCTGTCAGCACCTGATCTGTATTTAAGACCGGCCAGCATTTTTTATTGATAGATTCAACTCTAATTTCCAGGAATCATCCTAAGCCGTTTTAAAGTTTTAGAATCCCCACGTTTTGCACCAAAGACAATTATTTCCTTCTAGTAAACCAATATTAGTTCAATTACATGCTGGTCGTAGCTTCATGAATAATTGACAAAGTTTGCATTGTAGGCCATGTGTTTGGAGAATTGTCTGCTTCAGCCAAAATTTGTCAAATAACAACAACCTATTCACACTTGTAAAATATTGGTAATTATAAAAAAATCTGTTGAAAATAGACAACTTTTTCATCAGTGCAGATAGGCCCTAAGAGAGCCCTGTATTCCTTATTTTCTAGGAAACACTGTATCTTGCTAATAAAAACAAAATAAAAATATTTGGGAAAATTAGCAGTTGAAGTCCAGCAAAGAGTCAACAACAAAAAATTAATAAAACTTGTGAAGTTTGCCACAAGTTACCTGAGCCGTATAATTTCCAGGAATCTCTTCAACAATGAAGGTGTATCTACGAGACACTAAAAAAAAAAACGAAAAAGCAAAATTAAACTTTGACACTTATATCAGACAAACAGTATCATTCCCACTTCCATGACATCTCTTTTTAAGATCAAAATTTAGTAATTGTCTTTACTGTCTGCTATACAATTCTTATGGTATGGGTTCGGGGAATCTGGTATTGGATCAATGAATAATCATATGATCGATACGTTTCTTCATTCTCATCACCTGTCTGCATGATATTGCATTGATATTGTAAGGAGAAATTCTGTCTTGGTAACTCATGGAAGTTTAAGGGTTAAAAATAAATATCATACATACGTGGACTTGTTGCCTTTTGTTAAGATTTGCTTGATGGATCAGGTGGATCATTTTGACAAGACATCTAATGGCTTGATCTTGTTTCTGATTATCTGAAGTTACACTTATTGTGTGTCTCGTTGGACATGGGGGTTTTTTGCTGCCGTCATCTTCTAGTATTCTAAATAGGCTCTCTGCAGTCTCTGGTGAAATATCAGTTGCTACACACTCCTAGATTGAAAAAAATAAATAAATAAAAAAAGCTTAAAGGTGAAGTAACCGTTAGAACCTAATGGTCCATTTTAGGAGACTTAATATCTTGATTTTGTTTATTGATCCGAGACTCGCTTAAGAAATTATAAGTTAACCAAACTAAAGTAGTAAAAGAGAATTCCATCTCGTATGAGATATCTGTAAAGAGAGAGTTTAATGTTTGTACTGAAGAGGAAATCAGAGCAGATTACAGTTTAAACTATTTTGTTGCTGTTTTTGTTTTATTTGGTTTCACGCGAAAGAAATATTAGACTGGTATGTGCGGGAAACTCGCGGTGGGTATAGTTTACGATGAAAATGAGCATTTGATCACTGCGTTTTCAGAGGACTTTGTAGAGGAAATTACGCACTTAAATATTCATGTTGCATTTATTAATCATAATTCATCGGCAAGTGTTAAATACGGAAATGATAAGATACTTCATCCATGGAATAAACAAGACGATAAGTTTAAAGATTCTACAAATTCAAAAAATGTTTCCATGCGCGACTTCACGGGAGAACATGTAAAAAGTTTTACAAAAGATTTTCGACATACCCTGCTGTTGAGGTAATTCCAAATTTTATCCGGACTGCGTTCAATTCTGCAAGAGGTAAGTTAACCCGGAATAAACGGTCATTGGAGAAAAATGTATCAGTAAATTATCGGATAACTGCGAGCATTTCAGAAATTTCAAACATTTTCTACGCTGACACATTTTAGCTGAGAATATGAATAATTCGAAAATGATTCTTAGGAAATTAGTAAAAATCATGCGATGGAAAACAAATCAACTTGCCCGTCACTCAGATCCTCCTTAACTTTATCTTCCTCCCCATCCGCCATCTTTGTTTTGGTTCTTGCGCAAACTCGCTCCAGGATTCATCCTCGGAGACCCAGGGGCTGTGAGTCGATTTCAAGTTAAGGGCAGAGGAGCCCCCTGGGGACATTGTCTTACAAGACTAGTTCCAAACGGTCGCAGTCGTTCTGGCATCTGATTGGTGCCAGAAAATCTTTGTGTTTTTCTGCCCAATCAGAGTGAAGTGTCCTTTGGAGTCCTTTCGTGTGTTTTAACACGCACATATACAACAAGCTCTGTTGCTCGCTATGTTTGTTTGGGCCGTGCGACGAAGCTTTGCCCGAGGTGAAAAGTTTCAGTCTCAGCACACAATGTAAGAGAAATCGATCAGATTGTCCGCGAAATCTTACCGGAAAATTATACTGAATACTTTCGCAGGTATCGCAAGAGAACGTGTTTAAAAGTTTGCGGGGTTCGTGTAAAACATAATGGTTGCAGGCATTGATATGGCGCTTTAAACGTTAGATGAGATGTAAGCCCAAATCTTTCAAGATTTTTTGTACAATTTGTTGTGACTGATATCGGGTTTTGCCCAGTAGTGGCAGATTTTAGGTTTTTTCTAGTAGTGGCTGATTTGGGGTTTTGTCTAATAGTGGTCGATTTGGGGTCATTTGTGAAGGAGTGGCCGGTTTAAGGTTTTGTCCACTAGTGGCCAATTTGGGGTTTTGTCCACTAGTGGCCGATTTGGGGCTTTGTCCACTAGTGGTCGATTCAAGGTTTTGTCCACTACTGGCCGATTTGGGGTTTTGTCCACTAGTGGCCGATTTAGGGTTCTGTCCACTTGTGGCCGATTTGGGGTTTTGTCCACAAGTGGCCGATTTGGGGTGTTGTCCACTATTGGTCGATTTTAATTTTTGTCGACTAGTGGCTGATTTCGGGTTTTGTCCATTAGTGGCCGATTTGGGGTGTTATTATGGGAGGCAGCGTGGTCGAGTGGTCAGCGTGTCGGACTCGCAATCCGTCGTTCCGGGGTTCAAGTCCCACTCTGACCACTCCCTGGATTTGTGTCACGGTAGCTCCGAGTTCAAATCCTCGGCCATGCTTGTAAATAGCCAACTGGTTTGCCTCCGGCCAGTTGGGATTCTTAACGAAATTATTTTCAATTTGAATTATTTGTTTACAGCCCACAATGTAAACTACTGGGCTACCAGTAATTGTGTTAGCTACTAAAGTTAATCCACTAGGGTTTTGTCCACTAGTGGCGGATTTGGGGTTTTGTCCACTAGTGGTGGATTTAAGGTTTTGTCCACAAGTGGCCGATGTGGAGTTTTGTCCACTAGTGGCCGAATGAAGGAGTGGCCGATTTAAGGTGTTGTCCACTAGTGGCCGATTTAGGGTGTTGTCCACTAGTGGCCGATTAATTTAAGGTTTAGTCCATTAGTGGCCAATTTGGGGTTTTGTCCACTAGTGGCCGATATGGGATTTTGTCCACCATTAGTGGACTAACTACCATTAGTGGCAAAAATGCAAAAACGGCCACTAGTGGGTAAATTGCTTAAATGCCCAGTTGTCGTTTTTTCCACTATTGGCCGATTTAAGGTTTTGTCCACTAGTGGCTGATTTGGGGTTTTGTGAAGTAGTGGCCGATTTGGGGTTTTGTCCGCTAGTGGCCGACTCAAGGTTTTGTCCACTGGTGGTGGATTTGGGGTTTTGCCAGTAGTTGCTGATTTGGGGTTTTGTCCACTAGTGGTGGATTTAAGGTTTTGTCCATTAGTGGCCGATATGGGATTTTGTCCACTAATGGCTGATTTAAGGTTTTGTCCACCAGTGGCCAATTTAAGGTTTTGTCCACTAGCGGCGATTTGGAGTTTTCTCCACTAGTGGCCGATTAAGGGTTCTGTCCACTTGTGGCCGATTTGGGGCTTTCTCCACACGTGGTCGATTTCGGGTTTTGTCCATTAGTGGTCGATTTGGGGTTTTGTGGACTAGTGGCCGATTAAAGGTTTTTCCCATTAATGGCCAATTTGGGGTTTTCTCCACTAGTGGCCGATTTGGGGTTTTGTCCACTAGTGGTCGATTTAAGGTTTTGTCCAGGAGTGGCTGATTTGGGTTTTGTCCGCAAGTGGCCGATTTGGTGTTTTCTCCAGTAGTGGTCGATTTCACGTTTTGTCCACAAGTGGCCGATTTGGGTTTTTGTTCCATAGTGGCAACTTTAAGGTTTGGTCCACTAGGGCCCTACTTAAGGTTTTGTCCACTAGTGGCCGATTTAAGGTTTTGTCCACTAGTAGCCGATTTTTGGTTTTGTCCAGTAGTGGCCGATTTGATGTTTTGTCCACTAGTGACCGACTTAAAGTTTTGTCCACTTGAGGCCGATTTGGGGTTTTTTCCACTAGTGGCTGATTTGAGGTTTTGTCCACTAGTGGCCAATTTGGGGTTTTCTCCAGTAGTGGTCGATTTAACGTTTTGTCCACAAGTGGCGGATTTGGGGTTTTGTCCACTAGTGACCGATTTAGGGTTTTGTCCAGTAGCGGCCGATTCGGGGTTTTGTCCACAAGTGGCCGATTTGGGGTTTTGTCCAGGATTGGCCGATTTGGGGTTTTGTCCTCTACTGTGGCTGAACGAAGGTTTTGTCCACTAGTGGCCGATTTGGGGTTTAGTCCACTAGTGGCCGACTTGGGGTTTTGTCTAGTGATGGCTGATTTGGAGTTTTGTCCACTAGTGGCCGATTTGGGGTTTTGTCCAGGATTGGCCGATTTGGGGTTTTGTCCACTAGTGACCGATTTAGGGTTTTGTCCAGTAGCGGCCGATTCGGGGTTTTGTCCACAAGTGGCCGATTTGGGGTTTTGTCCAGGATTGGCCGATTTGGGGTTTTGTCCTCTACTGTGGCTGAACGAAGGTTTTGTCCACTAGTGGCCGATTTGGGGTTTAGTCCACTAGTGGCCGACTTGGGGTTTTGTCTAGTGGTGGCTGATTTGGAGTTTTGTCCACTAGTGGCCGATTTTGGGTTATAGCCACTTGTGGCTGATCTGTGATTTTGTGCAGTAGTTGCTTGAAGTTGTGGTTTTCGCCACGTGTGGCGTATTTGGGGTTTTGGCCAGTTGTGGCCTATTTGGGGTTGTTGCCACTTGGGGCCGATGAGTGATTTTTTTCCACTAGTTGGGGATTTGCAATTTTTTCCTTTAGTGGCCGATTTGGTGTTTTGGCCACTTGTGGCCGATCTGTTATTTTCTCCATTGGTGGCCGATCTGTGATTATGCCCACTAGTGGGCGATCTGCGATTTTTGCCACTAGAGGCCGATTTGGGGTTTTTGCCACTTGTAACCGACTTGGGGTTTGGGCCACTTGTGACCGATATCTGATTTTGTCCACTAGTGTCCAATTTTCAAATTTGGCCAGAAGTCAGTTTTGGTCTCGCAGAAGTATTACTAGAGACGTGATCTGGAAATCTTGTACGCTTTCAGGATTCTTTTTTCTTGTTTAAAATGAGCATTTTACTGTTTGAGTCAGGGACTTATGGCAACGTACATTTGCGGAGCGAGGAAACCCTTCAGTTATTAAACAGAATGATGGAAGGGAGGGACGGTGGATCGGTGGAATGGGGGAATATGTTAAGACGCGGATAGTCGGAATATTCTGAAGCAAAAGTGTCAAAAGTAACAGGTGAAACTAGAGGAAGCATATGTTATCACTGTTGGAGCCCAGAGGATGGGGGAACCATGAGGCTTTCGAGCTAGTACCTGGTTTTAATAGCTAATTGACTTGTTAGATGAAATGAATTTCTCTCTGAGGGCTGCGGTGATATCACGTCTCCACAAATTTCAATACTAACATCATTACTTTGGATTATAAGGATAAGAAAAACATTGCACTGCACTGAATGATCAGTTTTGTGTTGGAAAGCGAAACCCGACAAATTTGTTATTGAAATCTTACAGAGGGTTTTTGAAATTATTTTCCAGCTGTTCTGCTTATTCAAGTTGTGTATCATTTCAAAGGAGCACAAGAAATAATACGAATGTTTCAACAGCTGAAAGAGTGAGAAAAACAAAAGAATGACTATTTAGAATGCCATGATCAATAGAAAGTTTCACAAAAGAAAACTTCAGTCATCCGAAATTATGGTGAGCATTGTTGACATAACCAAACAGTTTCATTTTACACGCGCGCTGTGATAAGTTAAGTCGACTGGCGCTAGCGCACGATTGGCCGTGGGTGCTCCAAAGGTCATCTTAATTTTTGCAAGAGGTGTGTAACGCAATCGTCAGTGTTCACTTTACTTACACAATGACGTGTACGGTTCCCCTTCAAACTGTAGCAGTTCTCTGCCTTATCTCCTCGACAAATGGATTTTGGGTTTGGAACAGACCAACGGAACGTCCCTCAAATGAGATAACAACACCAGTCATAATCGGTAAATAAGAATTGTTAATATTGTACAATTAATTTATCGCTTTCTCGCGGCATTTAGCATTTATTAAACGATCATGAATCCAACGTTAAACAGAAAATCTGCAATCTCCTTTCCTAGCTTCACAAAAGAGATCGTTTCGTCGGATTTTGCTTCACAACTAGTCCTTTGCTAGGCCTTTTCAAACCTGATTTATTTACATACAGCCCACAATTAAATGTATATGCCAATATATTACGTAACTTCCATGAATAAAGCTTTGTTTCGGTTTCGCATGGGGATTAGCATAATGAACAACGAAAAATGCTGATCTTTGTATTAACAAGAGTCTAAATTAAGAATAAGCAAACACTCAGTTTTCCTTGACAGTCGACGGAATAAGCAGGTCTAAGCACGCAACTGAAAGTAAGTCGAAACGTGACCCAAGGGGTGGTAAGTTCATGTCTACGTCAGGACATAACTGAGGTAGTTTTTTTTGCGACGAGTAAAATTACCTTTGACATCAAGGAAACAACAATGGCCTTAAAGTTATAAAAAAAGAGAAAAAAAGACATCAAATAACGGTTCCTTTGGTGGAAAATCGCTCGTTAAAAATCAAGGTAAGCACTACGAAACCGGCCTCGTCTAGAGCGGAAGGCAGATACCTCTGGGGTCCTATGGGGATCTCACCGGTATTCCCGCCGTGTCAATATTTAATCGCTCACCGTGACCACCTTGCGTTCAATCAAACCGCACCCACAAAGGTAAGGTTAGTGATAATTTAAAGCATAATTCCTTTTTTCTTCTCTCGTCAGTGCCTGGAACCGGTGGAAGCCAACTGCAAGCCAAGCTTAATAAACCTAGCACTCTTCATTGGTATTGTTCCAAAACAACCGATGACTACTTCACTTTATGGCTCAAGAAGACTTCGCTATTACCTTATGCCATAGACTGTTGGGTGGATAATATGAGGTGATGAAAACCTTAAAATGTAGCTCATAATCGCTTTGATTAGTATTCCTTAGATCACTTTGTCATCAAGGAGGGAAATTGTTTCGCTTTTGGAGGACTGGTTATCCTTAAGAGGCAACTTGAGCATCTTAGGTTTGTTTATTCGGTGATCTCTTTTGCTTAGCCCTATTTCCGTTCGATTATTTCCTGTGGTCACTCATCATGTCTATTAAAGATTATGTGCCCATATCTTAGGAAGAATCTCGTTTAAATGGAATAAATGAATATAGCTTTGCCATCAAATTATTCAAATAGCTTTGCCATCAAATTATTCAAATGTACGCACAAATATCTTAACGGTTTGCTGCCTCCATTCAATGGTCACATGGATAATAAGTTTTGGCAAGAGCTTACCAATGAGCTCCTAATATAACTAGTATAAGTAATTTGTATAATATTCTTCTTCAATTAGTGATCTCGTCGTTGTTGTTGCGGATTTTTTTTTTCTGTTAACAATTATTAGACTTGTGTACGATGAAAGCACCAAGACCATGAAGAACGCACCGGGCGTGGAAACAAGAGTTCCCGGATTTGGTGACACCAGTACAATCGAATACTTGGACACTAGCGGACTGATAAAGTATTTTGCACCAATGGTAGAGACCCTGGTCTCTTGGGGATACCAGCGTGGAGAGACTGTCAGAGCAGCTCCGTATGACTTCCGTTATGGGCCTGGTAAGTTTCACGTGATCACTTGCTTGTTTAAAACTCATTATCGTCTTCAAATCCGATCGGCGCTCCAAGCCAGAAGGACCCTGAGAGCAGAAATCAAAAGGAACCCTCTACTAAATAAGACATTTTCATTTTTCCTCTAGAATCCCAGTCAGAATATTTTTCAAAACTGAAGACATTGATCGAGGATACCTACTCAGCAAATGGCAACAAGAAGATAACTTTAATGAGTCATAGCTTAGGATGTCCTTACAGTTTGGTTTTCCTGAACAAACAAACGAAAGACTGGAAAGACAAATATATTCTACAATGGATAACTCTGTCTGGTAAGAAAAAAAAATGGCGATTTAAGCTCAGAGGGCGCGTTCAGAGACATTTTTAATTGCATGTTTACACCGAATATTTGTAGTGATTTTTTCTTTACTTATTCTCGAAGATTTCGTGTCGCGTTTTGGGTAATCAGCTGCAGAACTAAAGCCAAGAGATCTCTCAAGTTCAGTCCTATGCTGAGGAATTGAGTTTGTTTATTCTATGCCACAGTTGCCCATGTCGTGTTTCGTCAGACATGCTCACGCAGTAGTGTGCAAAACATCATTACAAAAGATGTTTTCTTCTTTTTCCCATCAGGAGTGTGGGGCGGGACTGTAGAGCAAGTTAGCCTGTTTTCTTCTGGAAACACGTTAGGGATCCCGAAAATCCTCGTAAACCCGCTGAAAGTCAGGGGCGAACAGCGCACTGACACAAGCAAAGTTTATCTACTCCCGAGCCGAGAATTATGGTCAGCGGATGAAGTCTTGGCAAGAACACCAGAGCGTACGTACACTGTTCACGACTACGACGATTTCTTCCGAGATATTGGCTTCCCGCTCGGAATAAAAATACGAAAGTTGGTCGAAAACATGACCTATCCGTTAACAGAGCATTCTCCCCAAGTAACCGTACACTGTATGCATGGAGCTGGCGTAAATACGGCAGAAGGCTACCAGTTCAAAGAAGGAGAGTTCCCGGATACTCCGCCAGCCGTTACCTATGGTGACGGAGATGGAACAGTGAACATACGCAGTTTAGAGGCCTGCAGTAAGTGGAGCCAGCGGCAGCCGAAAAATGTTACCCTGAAAACATATCCAGGAGTGAATCATAACGGACTGTTGAGCGACGAGAACGTGCAGAATTATATTAAGTCTCTTTTGTTTTGATTGCAAACTGTGAATTTCAAACCGATCCAATCACGTTTTGTACAACTTGAAATTAAGCAGTTTGTCTGTTATTTTCCATTTTGATCGTCAAAGTTGTTGTTTTTTTCTTTCTTTTCTTTCTTTTTGTCACTTATTTTCCTTTTGTGTTTTCAAGAAAATCTTGGTGCGATGTTTTCCCACAATGACCATTAACCAATGACTTTCTTTAAAACTTTAACTTATGTGTGTAACCAAGATACCCCTGCTGAATTAAACATTAGACTTATGACAATGAAGGAAATGATCGCGAACTTGAAAAGCTCTAAATTTTTCACAAAATTTCTCCTGTCATTGCCATAGAAAATGTATAGATAACAGTCTAGAGAATATACACTCTGATGTTAAGGTGTAAAGGTTTGGGAATGCTAATTATTTGGTTTATATTTTTTTAAGAACCATGGACTAACATCTATTCATAACTGAGATGGATTTGAAACGTCTTCATCAGTTGGTAGTCTCTGACAAAGGCTGTTAGTTATGTTTTGTTAGTTATGGCAATTTTACGTCTCAAAACAATTGTTACAGAACGATTATTATGTAAGAAAGCAAAGCTGCCGAAAAGATTTGCTGCTCTCAATAAGCAGTTTCGTCTCTGAAAGCAAAACTTGGCACGCTTTGTCATCGAAACAAAGCAAAAGCTGTTCAAAATTGTCTTTTACCAGTCTTGTTCATTGTGCGGCATTTCAAAGGAACACGAAAAATAATACAAATGCTTCAACAGCTGATTATGAGAAATTCCAAATTAATGTTTTTTATATCCAAATAAAGTTTTTGTCTCCTATCTGATCTTTTGGCTAATTTTAAGTTGAATATTCAATTTCAAGCAAGACATTAAGTTAATTTGGAAAAGAAGGAAGTACTGACAGGTTTTAAAAAAGTAAAGGAGGACAGTCATAATTTCTAAAAATTGATTGTGCCACGTATTATCACAGAGCCTTACAAGATTGTCAGGATTATCTAGTGACCTTAATAACAGTAGAAGGTTCTTCATGCAAAAGTCACGCGTATTGATGGAAATGACTGGGTCTTCAGTGACCAGTGTAATACATGGCATGTTTTTCGAGTTCGTTCTGAACAGTTCGTCGGGAACGGTTCGTGTTCGGCCCCGGACACGCAGTGGGAGGATGTCCGGCACCCCCGGTGAGACTGGACTTATGATGGGACCCCCCTACTAAGGACATTTTTGTTGCGTTAGTATTATGGGATATAGGAACATGTGCTTTTCGCTTGAAGTTAGCAGTCTTTTCGTTGGATTAAAGGGGTGATTTAAACCGTTGTCGAAAGTTGAAGTTATTTAGTAGTCTGAATAAAACAGTGCGTGTTGAACACATGAACACTAATTGAGTTGCTCGTTGAGTACTAATTTTCACTCCTAAAACCGAACTGTACTCTTAGACGGAAGGAGCCTTGGCACTACGGCATTCACGGAAAACAGCTTTAGTGTTATAGTATGTAGTTTTAATTTTAAATATCTTAGCGTATGTGATATGTATTTTTATAGGCTGATGAATTGATCGTGTCTAAATAAAGATTACAACTACAACAACTACAACAACTAGAAATCGAAGGAATCACTTAGATGAATACAAAATTTTCAATTTTTCCTCTAGAATCACAGTCGGAATATTTTACAAAGCTTAAGACATTGAATGAAGAAACGTATTCCGCAAATGGCAACAAGAAGATAACTTAGATGAGTCACGATTTTGGATGTCCTGAGCAAGCAAACTCAAGACTGGAAGATAAACCAATCACGAAAGCTTCTCTTTCCCGTTCAGTTCTGCGTTTCAGGAATTGGTTTGCTCATTCTAACCCACAGTTGCTCACATGTGTGATTCACCAGCACGCTCATACAAATGTGCGCGAAACACCACTTTATTTGCGAATAATGTTTGGTTTCTTTTTCTTATCAGGAACATGGGGCGGGACTGCGGCCGAACTTGGCCTGTTTACTTCTGGTATGCCGATAGCCTCTAAGAACCCGCTGAAGCTCAGAAAGGTGGTACGCACGCAACCAAGCGCGGCATATATGCTACCAAGCCCCGAATTATGGTCAGGGGATGAAGTTTTGGTGGAAACACCTAACCGTTCGTACTAAGACTATTTTTCCGGAGATATTGGTCGAAAACACTACACATCCGTTAACGGAGCATTCTCCAGATGTGATCGTACACTGCTTGTATGGAACTGGGGTTCCTACAGTAGAGGGGCACCATGTAAAGAAAGGAGAATTCTAGGATAGGTAAACAGTCAGCTGTGACCTATGATGACGGGGGATAGAATGGTGAACAAACGCAGTCTAGAAGTCTGCAATAAGTGGCGCCAGCAGCAAGCAAATAAAGTCACCCAGAAGTCATTTGCTAGAGTGGATTTTTTCGTTATACTGATTACAATGTTTTGATTATGATATGTGAATACATTAAATGAAAGGATTATTGGCTAACGAAAAAGTAAACGAGACTAGGAAAGTAGGAAATAGTAATTGTCCAATTTAGTAAGCTAAAGCTTTCCGAAACAGAAATGTTTAATTACATTTTGTAAAAACTGATGTTTTTTCCTCACAGAAGAGCGAGATCACGGAAGCAATAAAAATGTCAATTATTTACATATTTGTTTTCAAAGCGAACAATGACGAAGAGCATTCGTACCATGATTCAAAAGGACTTCAAACCAATGTTTATCTTTTAAGGAGAGAAATGAAAGATTCAGTCAATATTTTTGCCAGTTATATGCTAACATGCACACACACACTCAAAAAAAAGATTTTGGAATTCTCGATCGCTCTAGTTGCGAATGAGTTAAAAATGGCCTTTGGTCTCTTCTTAGTAGTAAGTTTAGGTAAATTTGTGTTGTTCATTCTGTTTACAAATCACAGTAAAATGGTTCACAACTTCAGTTTTCAAGTCGATCTCAGGCCAAGCACGGTACTCCAATAAAAACTTGAAACAGAAAGAAATCTTTCATGCACTTCTCTGTTACTGTACGATATTTAAATCTCATCCCTGTAAATTTTTTCTGGAACGCCCAGCTGGCTCAAGGAAATAAAGCTAATTTTATGCAATCAGATCGAAAAAATGATTATTTTTCAGCTGAACTTTTATAACCTGCATTGATTAACTCCGTCAAGGAGAAAAGTGTGATGTTTATTTATAAACATTTCCTTAGCTGTCTTCTCATCTTGTTTGAAAACAATAGAATTCATACACATCCCAAGCGTTTGCTATTGGCGCAGAGGGCTGGACCTAGCATATGATTGGCTAGAAAATTGCCAATATCTTTCTTCATTGGCTAAGAACCGTCACTATTCGAGTCACAGTTTTGAGCAAGTTTGAAGACTCAAAGATCCCTCGAAATGTTGCCTAATAAATTGATTTTTTGCGTAATAATTTTGAGTGTAACGCTATCCCTTGGCGAAGGATGGCGGAAAATTCCGACATACAAACCATCTGAACAACTGCCGAGGGCTGATGAAAAGATAATGACACCAGTGATAATTGGTAATAGCTGCTGAAAATATTAATTCTCTATGTATGATTTTACATATTTTCTGTGCTTTTAGTTACAATATGTTGTCTTGCTAAATAGTAACCCATTTCCATATCGTTGGGGTAAAATTCCCTGATAGGGGATGATATATGGGATCGAAGAAACTTGATTCATTTTCTTTACAAAACAGTTCTTTCCTCGTTAGTTCTAGAATTTTGGTGTTGCCTTCAACTTACCTAATTTTGAGGATTTCTTAACATATTTTCCTTTTTCCTTCTTATCCAATTGCTGGGCGTTATACTAATAATTTGATGAGAAAATAACTTTCGATCATTCAGCATCTATCGCAAATTATTGTGATATCACGCTCACACAATTCCAGCTGAGCGTTAAGAGTAGGTCGGTAAATGAGCCTAAATCTTTCACTTTAACTGTTCCCTTAGCGACCTCGCATCCAGAAACGGGTCTCAGGAGGCTTCTCGGGGCTGGGACACCTAGCCTCCTCCCTTAGACTTATGGGTTTAGTTACTTTACTTCTCCGAAACAAAAATCTTCGTACGACAGGATCGCATATATAACAGCTCAACATGAAGAATTTAAAATTCACTTGTCTTGAGTTATTTCTCAGCTTATTTAGGCTCGAGTGTAAAAGAGAAAAAGAAAATTAAAATATGCGTTTCCAGAATCAAAGTTTGAACCTCCCTTGATACACCCCTGATATCTAAGAGCTTTATTATTATTCACTAAAGTACCAGGACAGGATCTGGAGGCAGTCAAAGTGAACCCAAACTGAACAAATCCAGTGTTCCAAGTTGGTTTTGTTCTAAGAATACTTCAGATTACTTCACGCTATGGTTTCAAAAGTCATTCTTTTCCCTTACGCCATTCATTGCTGGGCTGACAATATGAGGTTAGTGAAGACTCTCTCCCAAGGAATAAATATTTCCTAGAGATTATCTTATTTCAATCTATCAATACCCATCTCCAACAACCCCCCTCCCCTTATAGAAGCCCTGGGAACTAGAAAACCTCGAAGCTTATTAGAGCGTTTATGGAATTGTGACACTGTGCAGACCCCAGCATCAGGTTCCGTTGTTTCCCCGTTTTCAAAGATTGATGTGGATTCTCAATAATCCTACATATTGGAAGGACCATTGTCGTGCGTTATCGATCAATAGTGCCTTATCTTGTAGGTACTCTTGTAGGCACAGACTCACGAATAGAGACCCAATAGAGTTCGGAGAGCCAAACGGATGATAGGTGTTTACAATGTAGCAAAGATCAAAGTCGCTGCTAAAATCCTTTCCAAAGAGTTACTTTTCCCGATCATTTTTCAACGGATTTAATTTCAAGACTTGTTTATGATGAAAAGACAAACACCGTTAGAAATGCGCTGGGCGTGGTAACGAGAGTTCCCAGATTTGGTGACACTTCAACCGTAAACACTTGGATACCACAAACTTGATTTCATACTTTAAACCAATGGTGGACGCGTTGGTCTCGTGGGGATACAAGCGTGAGTTTAGCGTCAGAGCCGCACCGTGTGACTTCCGCTATGGGCCTGGTGAGTAGCACCTAGATTGCACATGTCCAAAACGTGATCTTCTCATAGAAGAACAGGAATACACATGCTCAAAGAGCTTCAGAAAGGAAAGGGGGAACTGACGGCAGCTTGGCTCTGATTATTATTTTTAAATCTCTTTCAGAATCAGCGTCGGAATATTTTTTTTTTATTCTATTTCATTAGCTTCGCCGACAGGTAGGGACACCGCAACAGCTTGCGCCAATTACAGCAGGCCCAGTAAACCCACCCATCCCACCCAGGGGAGGACATCCATCACACTCAAAGGGTACGACTCAGTGGACCACGAAGGAGTACTGGGCGACACAAACGCACTGAATTATATTAAGGGTGTTTTGTTCTAATATCCAAATAATTCTGTTATCTCTAATGGTGCAGCTATCAATAAACAAAACGATTTCAAACGTTTCCTTAAATTGTCAGCCTTTGTCTAAAATGTTGATTCCTTCTTTCTGCATCTGAGAGCCCCTAAACAAGAAAAGTAACCTGCCGTATTTGGGCGGAGCTTCCCTCAAAGCCCATTCCTCGCCCCTCACCCTCCCCCTCCCTTGTCCAATCCCTCCACGAGTGATATGAGGACGAAGCTTGTACCAGAAAACATCAGCCATGGGCCGGTTTTCTCTATTCAGTCTATTCAGCGACATTGATCCTATTGCAAAATAAACTACAAGCAGGATACAGGATTGTCATTGCGTGACGATTGCGTTATTTCGTGACAAATCCGGATAAGGCGTAAGTGATGGTGGCCAGTTGACGTGCACGAAGAGTACAAATATCTGATCAAAACTGATCAATGAGTTCTTGTAACGTGGAGACGCGCGTGAGGAATTCTCTGAACGAGCACTGAAAATCGTAGCAACCAAAGAGACCATAGATCTTTATTCTTAAAATACAAAGAGGTGAACCAATCGAAAGTTGATGGCATCAACGGGGAAGACTTTTTCCTTAGACAGCGCTTTACAGCAGGTCGGAGAATTTGGCCGCCATCAGAAACGAATTTACTTTTCGGTGAGCCTCATCTCGCTTCCTCTTGCTGCTCAGATGCTTATTGTCGTTTTTGTTGGAGGGATTCCGGAATGGAAATGTCCATCTCCCGCCGGCGACATTCTTCACTGCAATTCAACCACTGCACGCTGTTGTGGTGATGATGGCGCAATTTGCCAAGGCGCGCGGTTTTCTTCAGAGTTTACATCCATCGCGACAGAATGGAACTTAGTCTGCTCTCAGCGCTATAAATGTGAGCTAAGCCAGTCGATATTTGTGGCAGGATACATGTTTGGGGTTCTTATTTTTGGTATTTTTTCCGACAAATATGGTCGACGGAAGCCCTGGTTAATTGCGTATATAGTTGGAGGATTTTTAGCCCTCGTGTCAGCCTTTGTCGGCTCTTACGAAGAGTACCTTGTGCTACGATTCGCGATGGGGTTACTGAACGGCGGGGGGGGCCTTCTAACTTATGTATTGTCAACAGAATCGATCGGCCCCTCGTATCGAGGTAAGCGATCGAATGTCTTTTACTGTAAAGTCGTTGTTAGTTATATTATCTTATTACGATCATTATCATTATCGTTTTGTAAAATAAATGACCCCATACCACAAAGACTAAATATAAAGGTTTCTTTGCAACACTCTATGCATAATTAATGTATGGGGTTATCTTGCCTAAATGAATCCCAGCCACAAGTTAAGATAAAGTTAAGATGAGAATATGTAAACACGGTTGTGTTTTGTGCATACGTTAAGACATATTCTACTTCAAAAACACTGGGGCTACTTTTTTCCATGCTAGTGTTAAGAGTTCCTCCTGGCATTTTGTCAGGTTTCTGAATCTTGGTGCAAGTTTCCCTTTACACCAAGTTTGTTAGAGATTTGAAATCCATAGCAGGGATTGTCATGTCTTCTTTGTTCTTCATCTGATTGGTTTACAGGGTGGCCATGGAGTGCCTTTTCTCAACCAAGCACCGAGCTTGAACTGGTCAAAGCTCATCAACTTATTTTTATATGTTCTAGGAACTGCAGGCACATGGCAGCAGGCCCTCTATGCTGTTGGTTATGTCTTTCTGGCAGTAGAAGCCTACTTCATCCGCGATTGGCACACTCTGACAATTATATCAATTCTTCCCTCATTTGTGGTGCTACTGATCTTTAAATCAATTCCTGAATCTCCAAGATGGCTTGCCTCACAAGGAAGAATAAAAGAGGCAGAACATATTCTAAGGAAAATTGGGAAAGAAAATGGCTTTCAGAAGAGTGAAGTAGTACTTCTGAAAACAGATACAGAGGAAAACACGGAATCTTCTCAGTATGGAATGATGGACTTATTTACTCACAAGTCTGTATGTTTCATCACAATTATCATGATGCTTATATGGTGTGTGAACAGTATGGTTTATTATGGACTGGCATTGAATGTGAAAAACCTTGCAGGAAATCTGTATATCAACTTCTCTCTGGCAAGCTTAATTGAACTTCCTTCCTCTTTTGCCACACAAATTTTATTGGCTAAACTTGGTCGTAGAAAAAGCTTATTTTGTCTTCTACTTGGTGCGAGTATTGCATGCTTCTTGTGTACGTTCCTACAACTACAAGGCAGGCAGAATGTTATGGCAATCTCTTTTACAGCTTTAATTGGCCGCTTCTTTATCTCAGCATCATTTGCTGTGCTGTATGTTTACTCCGCTGAACTTTTCCCTACAGTTGTGCGTAACGTAGGTATGGGGATTTCAAGTTTTTCCGCACGATTGGGTGGTATGGTAGCACCATTTATAGTCCTACAAGGGGATCAAAGCACATCTTTCCCAATGTTTGTTTTTGCCTGCACAGCATTGTTTGCTGCAGTGACTGGCTTAAGACTGCATGAAACACAGGGAAAACCAATGCCAGAGACATTTGAAGAGCTTGATGAAAACTATCTGAGAAATCAAAAGACAAACGGAGACCATAAGGGGACTGATAGCTTATTGTTATAAGAACTATGGCAAACACATTTAAATCAATTAACACTTATTATAATTATTGTTTTCCTTCAGGTGTGAAATATAAATGTCTCTGTGCCTTAGATGTGATATATAAATGCTTCTACGAATGTTTAATTGGCATCAGCAAATTTTACTTTATAGTCACTTTTTCTTGAAAGTGCCCACATTTGTTAGAGAAAAGATAGAATGAGCCAACAGGAGGTGAAACTTGAGATTGGAGAAATAACTCCGAGGAAACCTTTCAGCTTGCAGTGAGTCCCTTTCCCATTTATAACTCCCCTATGAATTTAAACAAATATACATGCACAAATAAGCCTCAAATGTGAAATAAGATTGCTGTCTCAGTGTTGTAACTGGGCATTTTGGGAACTTTAGTTAACCACTTGAAAAAATGGAAACAAAGTGTAAATAATTTATGAGGTATTTAAAGGAAAGGGATCAAAATTAGCTTGTTGACTGTTGGTAGATGCTCTTCTTGTACAGTTTAAAGAAGTATTATTCAACAAATATTTTTTCTTTTTTTGAGAAAATTTCAAATCAATTGATGTTTAAAACTGTTGCTGAGTGAGGGACAAGGGATTTTCCATAAAGAAGCAAACCAGACTTCCCCTATAAAGCACCAAAGATATTTTTTTTCTATTAAAATATTTTGAGATGAATTCACCTTCCCCCCATAAAAGAACAAAAACAGATCTCTTTACAAGGGACATAGATATATTTTTGCTTTGTACCTAGGTTTCATTTTTGAACCTAAGCAAACTTTTTGGACAAGAACAAAATTGTTGTGTCAAACCAACAGGTTTTGAAAGCTCGATCTTAAAGGTCTAAATTATTTGTAAACATTGCTGAAAAAAAAAAAAGAGTCCGAAAAAGTAGTTAAGTGGTACTTTTTTTTAACAATAAAAGATCAAATCTGGCTTTTGGCTGTCTTTTACGAATGAATAACACTTCCAAAAATATTTTTATAAATTTGGTTTCACTTGAAACTTAAAATCATTGGGCAAAGATTAACAACAAGCTTGTAACAGTGATTCAGCGTGTATCGCTAAATTCTGAAACAGAAGAACCACACAAACTAACGATAATTTGAAGTTTTATATTTAATCTTCACTGCAGTAACCCGAGTACAACAGTAACAAAATAACCATGCAATTTATCCCATTTAGAAGACCTCTCTTGAATTAAATGCCTTTTAAAGGGTGTAATAAATATTTACCAAACTATAACTTTAAAAAATAACATTCTTGTTGACATGTTAAAAATGAGAATCCAAAAAAATAACCTATAAACTCTTACAAATTTTTATATACTATACCACCCCACCTGACAGTGTATTACAAAAGACAAGGGCCACTCTATTGGAGTTCATTGTAATAGGACCTTCATCACATTTAGAAACTATTTATGAAATTATCATCCATTTGTTCACTAAAGTTGAAGTCCTTTCATGGACAAATATATTTTAAATTGTGTAGTTCTATATAATATTAAAATTAATTTTGGTTTCAACTTTGAACCAGCATGGCTGTGAACTCTAACACAATTTGACATCAAGTGTATATTGCAGAGTTTTAAGTTAACACCAATACATATATCTTAATAACCAAGCGTGAGGGCCGTACTGGGAGAATATCGGCCTGAGGTCTCGACAGTACGGACCATGTACAAAAAGGACAGAGGGCCGATATTCTTCCAGTACGGTCCCGAGCAAGCTTGGTTAATAAGAGATTTATTACATGACTGAAGTTCAAAGGGACACGAGTGCGGTATCATTTGGGACCATTCGGGACAGTGCCCGGTACAATACTGAGAGAATATTGACCGGCAATAGAGCATTTTGATTGGTTGATTTTAGTTATTGGCCCTCTGACTGCCTGAGTCGTGTAATAAATGTAAAAAATGAGTATCTCCCAGTTAAAGAACAACCTGAGTTATATTTCCACATTACATAACATAAGGAAATTACACCTAAATCAAATAACAGATTTCCTTGAATAAGCAGCCAGGCACCTAATTACATTTTGGCAAAAAGGAGGAGAATCTTATTAAATTTGTATCAACTTGTATCAACATTGTAGTTAAAGCTTGAAAATTTATGATTACGGTAAGTGGCATTAAAACATCTTTTCCTTGTATCCCTACCATTTAAGAGAGGGTCAAATAATGAAGTAATGAATTATAAGCATAACAATTATAGTATTAATGAATTTTGAATATATGAAAATCATAAAATTATGTGTAATGTGGTTTCATGAAATGTATTGGAGCATTCCTTGCAGTAATAAACCCCACTTATCTAGTAGGTGGAAAATAAGGCCTGAAAAAAATTTAGGCCTGTATGGATTTGAACCCAAGACCTCTGTGATACCAGTGCAGTGCTCTACCAACTAAGCTAATCATAGTACTAATTATAAAGATAATAAGGATTGATAATATTAATAATAACATCTGATAATTTTACTATTTTAGTATTACTTTATGTATGGACTTTGAACAAAGGAGATTTTACAATTGATCCTGTTACACCCTAACATCATTATGCATATTATTCTATACTGTTCACTGTACAACTGTATGGGTATTAACAAGGAGAATTTGTTTAACAATCAAAGCTTCTTAGTTTGGCCATCATTTCCTAAACATTCCCATAATCTTAATTGATGTTTCAGCTGTATGACTGTAAGGAGAATTCAGATGCTGATCACTCTTAGGATTACAGGGTTAATACTCCAACTAAAATGTTTTGTTGTGAATTATGCTTTAATGGCTTTTACTTCTTCTTGTTCTGATCTCTCTAAATCTTCCATTGTTTCTGGCATTGGACGACCTTTTGTTTCTGGAAGCTTTAGACCAATTAACCCGGCCACTAATGACATACAAGCAAATATAAACATTGGTAAAGATCTACTTTGTTCTCCCATTAGAACAACAAATGGACATAAGATCCCACCAATACGGGAAGCCACAGTTGTCATGCCCATCCCAACATTGCGGATGACAGTCGGAAAGAGTTCTGCTGCATAAACATATAATACAGCAAATGATGCTGAGATGCAAAACTTTCCAAACATGGCTGCTACTGACTGTGCACCAGTGTTTACATTTTCTTGTTGCTGCAGTTTCATACATACCCAGCATGAGCTGGCCGCACCCATCATGAAATAGAACAAGGATTTGCGACGACCAGACCAGTTGAGTAGTACGACTGTCAGCAGGTAAGAGGGGATTTCTACCAAGGCAGCTAAGACAAAATTAAAGTACATATTGCCACCAAGGTTTTTCACATTTAAGGACAAGCCATAATAGACATGGCTATTTACAAACCAGCTTATGATCATTACAAGGGTTATAACACAAGTGCCTCTGTTTAAAAACAAGTCAAGGATTCCATAACTTTGTCCCCTTGAGCCACCTTTCGTAGTTCCCTTCCCACGTCGAAGTGTCACACGCTGATTTCCAGAACCATTTTCAACAGAGATCTTCAATAAGATAGCTTCAGCTTCATCATATCGGCCTTGGGTAGCAAGCCATCTGGGAGATTCTGGAATCATATTGATGATAAAAAAACCAAATATTGTAGGAAGGGCTGATGAAATGGTAAGATATCGCCAATCTGGAATTAGATATGCCATTAGCCCTAGTAATGCCACAGATAAAGCAAAAAAAACTTGTAACATGGTTCCAGCAAAACCTGTTGAGAGAGAAAATATGAAAGATTGGCTTTTACCAGTTTATTTCTCAAAACATGGCTTGGAACTAAAAAATAATCTTTCAAATTGCTATAGGTAAATGCAGAGTGCTCAGTAAGAGGAAAATACTCTTGACATCTGAATAAAAAGTAGCTCATGTGATTGAAACTTAGTCAAATAATTCAACTTACTGGCAGGGCTCAATACTAACAGTAGCCCACTAGCCACAGACTAGCAGAAATTCAGTTTTGGCTAGTGGTTTTCAATTTGCACTAGCCAGTTTGGTTAGTAAACAGACTGAAATTGTCATAACATCTAAAAACATCTAAGATGTCACTAGCCACTTGGCTGGTAAGTTGAAAATTTAGTGTTGAGCCCTGCACTGGTAGCAGCCAATAAAATCCTTGATCTCCAATATCTGAGAAAAACCTTATAGTGACTTTCAGTTAGAGCACACATGTGTATACAACTAAATTCTTGGTAGCACAATGAGAAAAATTGAAACATCTCTGAAAAGAAAACATGCCTGCACACAAAAAAAAAACCAAGTGCTGAGGTAACAATAGCAGTGCTCTTTGACCTTTTCTACCCTCCCTCCCTCCTTTCCCCACCCTCCGCTCCAATACCCAAGACAAAATGGAGAAAAAAGTAAGAACTCATTGATATTACTTTTGGCCTCATCAATATAACAAGATTAATATGATCACTTGTGTGTTCTACATAAAAAACGTAAAGAGATAATTTAAATAAACTTTCAAAGTCCTTAAACGCTGACATTCCCCTTACTTTTCAGGTTGTCAACCGGAAGTCAATTCCCCACTCTCCCACCCCCCCTCACCTCTAAAAAATTATTTTGATATTAGCTTTTACCTCTGTATGAAGGGCCAATTGATTCTGTTGCCAACACGAAAATAATTAACCCTCCTCCACCAGCAAAAATCCCAACGAGGAACCTTAAAGTCACAAAGACATAATATGATGGCGAAAGTCCGGACAGAAAGGCCAGCACTCCAGTTAAAAAATAGGTAGAAACCCATAGAGGTTTTCGACCATGTTTATCAGCAAGGCCGCCGATAAGGGGTGCTCCTACTAAGGTACCGGCCATGTAAATAGATTGAGTGAGTTCATTCTTGTACGTTTCACCACAAAGGAGGTTCCACTCTGTAGCGATCGATGTGAAGTTCGTGATGAATTCTGCGCGATTGCAAATAGAACCGTCTAGCGAACAGCAACTTTCTAGCGACTTGCAATACTTTAAGTTCGCTTGATCGCCTTTTGGACAGACCCATTTCGGTGTTGCTGCCGTGAACACAAGAACAAGCATTTGAAAGAACATGGGCAAGGCCGAAAGCGATATCAGAAAGAAGCGCTTTCGCTGGTAACGACCAAATTCACCCACTACTGTCAAGGCACCGTCGAAGTCCATATCGTAACTTTTCCGCCGGCTTTTTCTGATGAGTTGGCGCGAAAGGAAGGAGAGAACCTGGGGTGAGATTTCAAACATTACTGTGGGGGGACAGGGAGAGAAAACTAAGGTGACCTAGACGAAAAATAGGTCCTGCAAGCTTTCAACTGTGCGATGGCGTTCAACTAAAGATCGCACTGAATCCAAAGCGATACCCTGCGGGATACCCCATCGCACTGACTCAGGAAGAAAATTTTTCGATCACAAAGCATTCTCCCTTGTCGAAAAAAGAAACAAAAACTACGTTTTGTTGGGAACTTTACAATACGTTAATTAGTATTAATTTGTTAAGTGATATCGTTTGTGTTGTTCGTCCATATGTAACATGTGGCCTTGTTCCATGTGCCAGTTATGCAACTTGTTTTTTGGTGTCCTTTTATTCGAATAAGTGGGAGCTACGAGCATTGTAATAGAATCGTAAGTTCAAATGAATAAACCGTAGGAAGCGTGGTACAGCTTTTTCACATTTTCGACTCAGAAAAAGAAAAAAATTTCCCTTCTTTATTGCGTTCCTTCGACAAACTGAAGTTCTCAGTATATGAAAATAGCGTACGATAGACAAATGGATTACTTTATTTTCAGTTCTTCATTTGATGGAATAATGTTTGGTAAAAATTGAGGTCAAGCTAAAAAGATTAAAAAAGATAAAAAATGGAACAAAATCGTAGTTGTAATTGGCAGCGAAAACATCCTTTGAAAAACACTTTTTATCCTAAGGGCGGCGAAAAAGCGCAATAAGAAACCCCACCGTTTCACAGGCAGGAAAATTCCGAAAAAGACCAAGCTTTCTCTCTTTTTGACCAATAAAATTAAACCTACGTCATACATTTTCCGCACCGTTGTGAGAGCCAATGATAACTTTGGTTTTGACGGACCGACAGCGAAAATATTTTTCACTCTAAGTTCGGCAGTGAATGCAGAACCGGGAAAATTACAAAGCAGTTTGATTGAAACTTTGCTAATTTGAATCGTTGGCCTTCATCAAGTTTTTCAATGAGAGTTTTCATCGACGAAATCATAGCAGTCGGTATATTCTTCTTGTATCTTCTTCCGGCAAAGAGGTATTTGAACTTGAACTTGAACTTTATTTTTATTTAGACACGGTAAATCTATCAGATAAAATAATAATATTATTACAATCTATTATTACAGTTACAATCTATTTTAATCTATATAAACATGATCTAAAATTTAAAAGTAAAATAGAAAAAAATAAAGAAATTCTGCTTTACATAGATGCCGTGTGTGTTTTGTCGATTCAGAGGAAGAAATTGCGACAACCATTTCGGAAGGATTGAAGTGATTTTGCTTGCCGCAATTCAGGGGACAAGCTATTCCATATAACCGCACCGTTATAGCTAAAGCTATTTTTCAGGAAATTGGTGCGAGGCAATGGAACAGCTAGTTTGTTTTCAGAGTTCCTTAGATTATATGGAGGATCATATTTAGTGAAAAGAGAACCAAGATAGTCGGGCGCAAGACCATGTATAGATTTATAGACCATGGTGGCAACTTGTATTTGTCGCTGAGTATCTAACCGTCTCCAGTTAAGTTGCACAAAAAGAGGATCAGCGCTTGTGTCATAACTGGAGAAGGTCAGAATACGGGCAGCCCGGTTTTGCAACTTTTGGAGCTTATTCGAAAGACCCTTGTTACAATGCCCCCAGACCTCGCTGCAGTAATTAAAGTACGGTTGAACTAAGACATTGAAAACGGACTCAAGCGTGGTTCGATTAACAAAAGGCCTACAACGTTTAATTGCTCCAATGCCCGATGCGATTTTCTTGGCTATTTTTTCAATGTGCATATTCCATGAAAGGTTTTCGTCAATATGTACACCCAGAGATTTGACTGAGCTAACTTGTTTAATTATGTCACCACCTATGATTAGTTTAGGGGAAGTATCGTAGGTACCTATCCTTTGCCGCGATCCAATTAACATGAATTCAGTTTTAGATGAATTTAGAGTCAATTTGTTTGCAGTGAGCCATGTGTTAACATTGGATAGGTCGTGATTCATAACATCATTGATCATTTCTATGTTGTTACTGGCAAAGGTCAGGTGAGTATCGTCGGCATACATACGTGCAACTGAATTAGACAGGCAATTAGGAAGATCATTTATGTATAGAACAAAAAGCAAAGGTCCTAGAATTGTTCCTTGCGGAATTCCACAAGTGAGAAGTTGACTAATTGAGAGCGAACCATTTACAAAACATTGTTGATGGAGATTATCTAGGTATGAGCTAAACCATTCATAAGCGATACCGCGGATACCATATTCAAATAATTTAGACATAAGAATTGTAAGGTCAACGGTATCAAAAGCCTTTTTTAGGTCGAGAAAAACAACTGCATTTATACTGCCTTTTAGGTACAATGTCTGTGGGCAACCAAAGCAAAATATCACAATTGCGGCGCTTGCTCCCACGACAGGAGAATGGGATGTCGGTCGAACCACAGCCGCCGCGATGCCTACCTCTAGAGATGAACTTCTGGGCGCAGCAGAAGAGAGGAGTCGATGCTTTCATTGGTGGTGGATGTAACCGAGTGCGTGAATACATCAGCTTGCTAGCTGGAAAATCGAAGCTGCCTGTCATATCATGGGGCTGTATGTCTGCTCATTTATCCAATAGAAACACTTTCCCAACATTTGTTCGGACTGTAGGTACGTTCAATAAGTTACTGTTTATTTGATAATTTGAATATATCAACCAAGTTGAAATGGTGAATTGGTCACCGTTATGATTATAAAAGCTAACGTTTCGAGCGTTAGCCCTTCGTCGGAGCGAATAGGGGAATTGTTGGTTGTGTGTGCTTTTCAAGGCAGAAAAAGGAGCTACGTGATTGGTGGGAACATGGCAACGAGAAAAACACGAATAAACTAGTTGAATGAAATGCGTTCGTTGATACCTGTGGGATTTCGACTGCCAGTTTGAAAGATGAGCTTTTGTTCAAGAGTTTTCTGGCTTTCCGTGCTACCTAAGTGTAAGGAAAGATCGCAGATTGTCATGCGTGGCTTAAAATGGTTAGATAGAGCCGTTTAATGTGGACTTTCCAGATAACAGAACAGTGAGTAACAGTCAGGCAACTTTCTCATTTCCATCTCTTCATTACCGTCTCCCGGTTAGCTCAATGGATAGAGCGCTGGACTGTTCTGCGGGAGGTCGAGGGTTCAAGCTCTGGCCGGACCAACACTCAAGGTCTTAAAATAATTGAGAAGAATATGCTGCCTTTCTATAACATCAAGAAATGGTTAATATTCAAGTCTTCTCGGATGGGGACGAATAAATGGAGGTCCCGTCTCCTGCAGGGTTGGGGGTAGGAGACGTTAATTTCCCACGCACAAGATTACTGTGTGATGGATGTCCTCCCCTGGGGTAGGTTGGCGGGTTTGTTGGAGCTTAAACCTCGTAGGGGACCTATGTCCTATTGTTTTTGCTCCAGTACTTTGTACAAATACAATACATTATGTAATGGGATAGCTAGCCACTATATCTGATAGGGGTGCTAGATGTGCATCTTGGGAAGAAAATTTTGAATTGGCACCACATAAAGCATAAAAACCCTGAACTGCCCGCTTTATAGTTATCTCGATATTTTGTTTTAAATATGACCGGAACTGTGACCATATTTGTGATGCAAGCCAGTCACATTTCAAAATAATTAAACTGACAGTAGTCACCAGAATATTTGTTCCTTCAGAACTAGGCCTCCCTCTGCCCTCAGAGAGCACACCAATGGAGGTCAGACAATAAGATAGAAATTCTTCTCATCAAAAGCAACTCTCCCACTTTTGTACAGTAGCGAGAGTTAGTCGGTTCAGTGATCAGTCAAAACGCTGTGAGACAGATGCTCCTTCCCGACAGGAGAAGAACCAGCTTCTTGGTGGTCTACCAAGCATGTGTAAATGATCACGCGCATGCCCGAGCTATATCGCGACATTGCCAACTCATATCCTTTCTCCCCATATGCATTCTCGCATTCGGTTCAGTTGCGATAGCTTTACTGGTGTCGAAAATATCCTTGCTTTGAACGCATTTCTTTCCGGAATATCTAAAGGATTTTGATATTAGAATTTGTTTTGGGTTCTCAACTTTCCAGAACTGATAAAAAGCATAGTAACAATGACTAATAATCAGTCTGAAGATACACAACAATTTTCCTGAAAATCACCACAATAAACCTTTAATTTTCTTTCCATTTTAGATTGTGGCATTTTTGATTGACTGGTACATTGTCTTGGACAATATCCTCAGAAACTACGATGTTTTCAAGGTGAGTAACGCAGACGTTTGAGAGCCGAGAGCCTTGATCATCTGAATCTTCCTCAGAGGAGTGCGATGGCATTAGAGTAATCGTCGTTTATTTCCTTAAAGGATCTGTCTTCTCCCTTAGAAAAAAAAATTCAATTTTGATTTCCAAATTGTTCGTGTGTAGCGTGAAAGAGGAACTTTACGGAGTCAAGTTGGCAGAGTCGAGACTTCTCTTTTCCGAAAGAAGAAATACTGCTACTCTCTTTTTCTATTTTACCCTTTTCGCAGTTGGAAACAATTGGTGATTGTTTGTTGGTGGTGTCAGGGCTACCAGTCAGGAATGGTAACCGCCATGCAGGAGAGATTGTAGACATGGCGTTTGACATTCTGAGTCTTATGACTCACTTCAAGATTCGGCACAGGCCTCGGATGGAGCTGCAGCTCAGGATTGGTCTGCACAGCGTTAATCATGTGATCCGTTCCCAATCTCTGCTCTGTGTCATTGTGGTTAACTGTCAGTTATTTACTCGACGAAACTGCTGACGCAGAGTCAAAAAAATGCAAGATTCAGCGTTGATTCGTTCCTCCCTCTGTACCCAGACTGATTAGCCTTCTGATCAGGCGTCTGTTGAATAGAAGTAGACTTCAGTATCTTTATTTATCAATCGTTTTCTGTTGTTACCAGGCTCCTGTGTAGCGGGTGAGGTCGGAATCCATATGCCACGTTTCTGTTTGTTCGGTGACACAGTGAACGTGGCATCAAGGGTGGAGACCACTGGTCAAGGTAAGGGGCTTGAGTTGCTAGACACAAGTAACTCTATTATCCCCTTAGATACAATCTAACTCTTTTAACAGATTCTGAGACTGAACTGTAATCGGTACTACAATCTTAAGATACCGACAACAGTAACTTTGTTCCCAAGGAAAGGACCAATCATTTAGATTAATTAATCAAAAATTTTGATTTTATCATTGCTATCAAAGTTGCTCAGGAGTCATTGCTTATTGTTTCATTTCTCTTGCATTACACTAAAACAGAAGTTAGTTGCTGTGGAACCCTCATCTGTGGGGTGATAAATTAATCAGCGAGTCATAGCGAGGCTATAACTGGAATAAAAGTCACACTGTTAGAAAGCAGACACTGACAAAAATTGACATCACTAGGAAGGCTTGAGGATTCCTAAACTCCCCTTCAGGGCTTGACACTAACTTTTCAACTTACTAGCCAAGTGGCTAGTGACATCTTAGATGTTGTGACAATTTCAGTTTGTTTACAAGCCAAACTGGCTAGTGTAAGGCAAAAACCACAAGCCGAAACTGAATTTCTACTGGTCTGTGGCTAGTTGGCTATGGCTAATGTCGAGCCGTGCCCTTTATTTCAGTTCTCTTCTCTCAAGACTCTTTCATTTTTCAATTATTTTACTCTTCTTCCATTCACCAAAATATTACAATTTTCAATCATTCAGAGCACACATGGGCCATACCCCCTGCCACCCCTCCCCCCACTTTTAAAAGTTAACCCTGTCAGAAGCTTAATGCTATGTTGGATCAACTCTCTGAAAGAGAAATAACTTTTGGATTGTTAAATTAAAGCCTGACAAGGTTTTGTTCTAAAAAAACCATCTTGATTTAGTAACACGTTACATTTTTGTATGGAGGACAGCTTTCACTGCACCACAAAACTCTTGATCTACTGAGATTTTAAAATCTGATCAATATTGATACTTAGGCAACTGCATACCAAACTCTCCTCTAATCCAATCACAGTCAGATGAGAAGTTAGGGTAAATGTTGGGTTAGGGGAGAGGGGTCAGTACACAGATGTTCAGCTGCTGACATTTGACTCATATTTTCTTATCTAAAATGACCTTTACTGTTAAAGTTTACTGGAGAACAGGTCAGTTCTCTGTGAGTCACACTGCGATAAGAATTGCTGTATCTCTGTAGCAGTTTGCTCAGGATTATCTATATGAAAGTGATGACCACCTTTAACCATTTTTCGCTTGTGAAATTTGGCATTTTGACAATATAGAATCGATCTTTCTCTTATTTCTTTTTCTACCTTACTAGTTGTGCCTTCTAAGATCAACAGCGCAGATTTGATCCTATTCAAAATTAACTTGATAGAGAACTCAGGCGGGTAAAATGGACGAGAAAGCCCTTTCACGACTGGATCATGAGAAAAGACGACACCCTCGTTCGTGACTTTGGTTCCCCTCCGGGTTATCAACAACGCGGCTTCCATGGACAAAGTGAAAAAACTATCAACGCGTTCTTCTCGTCTTGAAGCTGCTTTCTCGACACTTTCGTAAACACGAAGGTTTGCTGGTTTAATGTTCGCCATTCTGGTGGCGTAAGAAGCTAGCACCTCAGCAGGGCGATTTCCAAACCGAGGATGCGGTCCACCACAATCGATCAAAATAAGGTTCTCTACCTCATCAGGAAAGCATCCAGCAAAAAGCATTGCCACAAAGCCTCCCATGCTGTGGCCTATAATCGAGAATCGTTTCCATCCTAGCTGAAAAACGACCTTCTTTACATCAGCAACGTATTCTAAATTGTTATATCCCATCCCTGGAGGACGGTGGGAAGACTTTCCATGTCCAGGGAAGTCTATCGCGATAAAGCGAATGTTCTTGTGAAGCAACGGAACAAGCTTTTCAAACGTGTTGGCGTTGTCTAGCCATCCGTGAAGGCCAAGAAAAGGCTTACCATCCTCTGGACCCCATGTTTTGGCTGCAATAACACCCCAAGGAACAGTAAATGAAGTTTCATGGTAGAATTGCCGGGTGAATTCCTCCGCCATATTGCATAATCTACTAGCTCCAGTCTTTACGTCGTTTTGGCGCAAACGAGGCTCACGAGTCACGTGAGACAACTTGCCATTGGCCATCATAGCGAAAATTCAGAAAAATCAAAGATGGTCAGAATTTGTGGCCCCAAACTAGCAAATTGTTGCTTTTTAATAAGCATATGGGGTGTTATAATGTTGGTGAGTCATTTATGCAAAGATGTTATTTGTATATTTTTGTATTCGTTTTAAAGCAGGGATAGTTGACGATGTAAAGAGTTATATCTTTGAAATTGATGGTTTGGATTTTATCTCGTTTGTTTTCAGCTGCTGTTAGGAGTATTTTTCAGCACAAGAAGTGTAGCACTCATAGAAGATATTCCCGGTAAAATGACAGAATCAGAAGGTTATAAGTCATCGGCAAAGTTAGTAATAATCATTAAATGTGTTACGAAGGGATTTGATCTTGATAAGCATGAAATTATGTATAAACAGGCTTATCAAATAATACAATGACACGTTTACCGAGAGAGAATTTAAGATGCTTGATTAATGTATCCTACTGATCTCAAGGGAATCTTAGAGAACTAGTCAGAGTTCCAGTTATTTCAGGTGTAGCTACCTGTAAGTGGATGTACAATAATGATTATAATATATGCAGGTTAAAAAAATTCATTACACAATGAATTGTACCAATTAAATCAGAAGCATATGACCTTGGGCGAGGTCATATGCTATAATATAATACCACATAACTGTGTAAAGGGCCTTTACTGCACCAGAACACCTTTGAATTTATGTAATGTTCAATTTCACTTGTGATACAAATTTAGTTTCAATTATTTTATGTGCATCAAGGCACAAATGTGCATGTATCTTTGTAAACTCCTAAAGGGGAATCCAAGGGAATTTGATCGAGATTATTTAGAGTGAACACCATGTGAGGCTGTAAGAGCCATGTCTTTCAGATCCAGTGCATCACTTGGACCTGACTCTCTTTCTACATGTTACCCCAGGGGTAAAAACTGACTTGTGGTTGGTGACAAGGGGTAGAAACTTGACTCAAAGTTTCATGAGAATTGCAAATCCCCTTCGGTATAGAATTTACCAGAAATTACTTTGGGTTTAGATATTACCATTTCTACCCCAGGGGTAGAAATCTGACTTGCAGTCAGTTACAAGGGGTGGGGAACTTGACTCTGAGTTTCATGGGAATTGCATCCTCTTGGGTGAACTTTTTCCCTGTTCCATAACACTGATCTGTTCATAATGTTAATCACACATTACTCTACCTGAATTTGAAAGCAAATAAAATTTAAGTCAAGGATACAATTGAGCTGCACTGTTTTGGAAGCTCTCTACCAATTTGCTGAATGTACTTTTCGGACATAAATTTGTGACTTTTACACCAACTTTAAGATTTATCTTAATGGTAAAAATTAAAAATTAAAACTTAATTTTCTCTTAGATGCATCATCAAATGTTGTTAGGCTTGATTAAGCTTTTCCTATTGACCATAAGATGATGTTATCCCACAGAAATTGTTACATAGCTGCTGGAATTTATGCTGTTACAATGGTTGTTGCAGCACATCAGAAATGGGTGAATAGTCGGACAGGGGATACACAAAAGCTGTAAGTAAAAATCTTTAGTTGCCTCCTCAGAATGTCTAATCCTTCGTGTGATAAAAACATGTGCATGTCAATATTATTTTGTATGGTTCTAAGTTAACACTGGACATGTAATTTTCTCTGCAAACTTGATGTTTCCCCAGGAAAAAAAAATGTGCCAAAAAGTTTAGAAAATCTGCAAAGCAAATTCCACAACTACACTAAATAAGGGAATACAAGTATAAAGAAATTTTGGACCGTGGCAAAACCAGTTTTGTTAGTATAGGTGTAAATTTAGGCTCACCTTTGCTATTTTTCATACTGTTTTACTGTTCATTTAGTTAGAAATAACTGGGTAATATCCAGGTTGAAAGAGCATAAAAACTTTTGAGTGTTACACTTTTTGTGATAAAATAATTTTCTTATACCTCTCTAGGATGCATACTTGAACAAGCCTGTTCCAAAGCTGTTATTTCCTCAATAATCAAACTAATTATTTAACATTTTCTTTTTTCTAAGCAAATACTGCTTCAGTAAGAAAACTCAATCTGTTCAATCTTATTTCAATATTCACTAATTTCAAGACAGTTTGAACACAAACTAAGATAGTTAATAATCAACATTACATGACTCGGGCAGTCAGAGGGCCAATAACTAAAATCAACCAATCAAAATGCTCTATTGCTGGTCAATATTCTCTCAGTATTGGACCAGGCACTGTCCCGAATGGTCCTGAATGATACCGCACTTGTGTCCCTTTGAACTTCAGTCGTATAATAAATCTCTTATTAACCAAGCTTGCTCGGGACGGTACTGGAAGAATATCGGCCCTCTGTCTTTTTTGTACAGACCTCGCTGTGCTCGGTCCGTACTGTCGAGACCTCAGGCCGATATTCCCCCAGTATGGCCCTCGCGCTTGGTTAATAAGATATATCTATTGGTGTTAACTTAAAACTCGGCAATATACACTTGATGTCAAATTGTGTTAGAGTTCAACTTTAGTGAACAAATGGATGATAATTTCATAAATAGTTTCTAAATGTGATGAAGGTCCTATTACAATGAACTCCAATAGAGTGGCCCTTGTCTTTTGTAATACACTCTCAGGTAGGGTGGTATAGTATATAACAATTTGTAAGAGTTTATAGGTTATTTTTTTGGATTTTCATTTTTATCATGTCAACAAGAATGTTATTTTTAAAGTTATGGTTTGCTAAATATTTATTACACCCTTTAAAAGGCATTTAATTCTGAGAGGTCTTCTAAATGGGATAAATTGCATGGTTATTTTGTTACTGTTGTACTCAGGTTACTGCAGTGAAGATTAAATATAAAATTTCAAATTATTGTTAGTTTGTGTGGTTCTTCTGTTTCAAAATTTAGCAATACACGCTGAATCACTGTTACAAGCTTGTTGTTAATCTTTGCCCAATGATTTTAAGTTTCAAGTGAAACCAAATTTATAAAAATATTTTTGGAAGTGTTATTCATTCGTAAAAGACAGCCAAAAGCCAGATTTGATCTTTTATTGTTAAAAAAAAGTACCACTTAACTACTTTTTCAGACTCTTTTTTTTTTTCAGCAATGTTTACAAATAATTTAGACCTTTAAGATCGAGCTTTCAAAACCTGTTGGTTTGACACAACAATTTTGTTCTTGTCCAAAAAGTTTGCTTAGGTTCAAAAATGAAACCTAGGTACAAAGCAAAAATATATCTATGTCCCTTGTAAAGAGATCTGTTTTTGTTATCTTTTATGGGGGAAGGTGAATTCATCTCAAAATATTTTAATAGAAAAAAAATATCTTTGGTGCTTTATAGGGGAAGTCTGGTTTGCTTCTTTATGGAAAATCCTTTGTCCCTAACTCAGCAACAGTTTTAAACATCAATTGATTTGAATTTTTCTCAAAAAAAGAAAAAATATTTGTTGAATAATACTTCTTTAAACTGTACAAGAGGAGCATCTACCAACAGTTAACAAGCTAATTTTGATCCCTTTCCTTTATATACCTCATAAATTATTTACACTTTGTTTCCATTTTTTCATCCAATCACAATGGTTTCTCTACTACCTGCAACTACTTTTTCATTGGCTTTCAAAGTTTAAGCAGGTAATCCTTTGAATATGACTTGTTACAAATATTTTTGATTTTTTCTTCAACTGTTTGAAATGATAACTTTTCTTTGGTTTCAAGCTTGTTGTAGTACATGTATCTGCAAACTCCAAGTGATGAACTTCTCCAAAACCAATTTATGATGGCTTAAAGAATATAGCTTTGCTTTGTAAAAATAAATGATTCATACTTGCATAGTACAATTGCATCTGAAGAACTGAAACTTTGGTGGAAATGTTTATCTTCTCTCTTAAAAATTTTTAGAAAGACTGGTCAAGTTTTCTTGTTTTAATTTATATCTTTGCTTTTCACCTTTTGTGCTTTTCAAAAGATAATGTAGACAGTTCAAGTAATAATTTATTAACTTCATCTATCAGCCACCTGTTTGTCGGCTGGTCCAAGATAGTTTTTTTTTTTTTTTTTTTTTTTTTTTTTTTTTTTTTTTTGTGCGTGTGTGTGTTAAAGAGAGAGAGATAACTTGCCAGTTTCATAAACTCATCAACGATATGGATAATTTTTATTGGATTGTATTTGAAAATTTTACCTTCTGAATATTGCACAAACAGGTTGTATTAGTGACTTTGAAAGTTTGTTGAAAATAAGTTAATCATAAGAAAAAAAATTTGGCAGAGAAAAATGAAATGTTGAGGAAGTAATGGGGAAAAAACACGAAATAATCTCCTTGATACATCATCTCTTAATTTTCAATGAGGATAGTTGCTTGCTGGTAATATTACATTAACTTCCTCCTTTTACACTGAACGTTGTATCTGTTGTATTATTTACAAAAATTGGCATGTCACAGTATTATTTTAGCAAAATTTATACTCGTATTATTAGCAGAAGAATTTTCTGCAAGGACCTACAGTGTTAACTGTATTTTGCAGTAATGAAGAGCCAACTTGTGTACAACAATAATTATTTCCTAGATACTTTAAGGTTGAAATAATACACTGTTTGAATGTGTAGTCAATGTGGTTTTTTTTTTTCCTTTGAATTCTGTCTCCAACCTCCAAAATGAAATACCTATGAGTGAGTCACTATGTTTCTTTATTCAAACTTTGATTTTGTCTTAATTAACACTACTTTAACCTTGCAGGGTTGTGACCTAAAGTAAAGATTTTCACGGAAGTTAATGTCAAGAGAACTTTAGATTTAATGGCACTAGTAATAGCTTTGTCTGATTTGGGAGCTATAAATCCAAAGATTATTGTATAATCAATTATAATATAGCTAAATATATAAGTAAGTAATTATTTAATTTCTTTGTACAACTATCAATAGCATGGGTAGAAGAAAAGTCACTAGAACTACGGACAACATCTCTTACTATTCCTTGTAAAGATGATTTTGGAGATGCTGATATTTACCGATAACCATTATGCAGAGCCAGCCTAATTTGTAGTTAAAATTTCTTTATAGACTAACTTTGACTTTTTTTAGTAAATTGTCTTAATTTTTTTTTAAGGGTGATATGGGTTTTAATTTTAATTTGGGTTTTTGCTTTTTTGTTTTGCAGTTATGTTCAAGCGTAGCTGTGATGCATGTGTTCTAATATTGCTTTTGATTAACCCTTAAGAATAACTGATTTTTTTTTTTGAGATGCAATATATACAAGGTCAGAAGCAGTGATGGATATGATATATAGTGTGTTCATATTGTGAAGCAAATAGGGTCAGTACTAAGGGTAGTTTTTACTTTTGATAAACACAACAAGGTCGAAGGCAAGAGATACCTTTCAAAGTACAACTAGATTACAGTGCTGTACTGCATCATCTGCGGAGAAACCCTGGTCCAAAACCCTGTCATAACAGACCATCATATATGGACCACCCTTTCCAACAAAAAGCATTCTTTATACCAAACAGTCTAAAACGTTTGTAAATTTTTTTAAGCATACAAGTGGTAAGATTTTGACCAAAGTTCAATTCATTCCCATAAGGCAATACAAGCTAGTCAGCCTTAATTCTGATGAACTTGTTTCTCAAGAAAGAAGTTTGTGATTGTTAATTTTGGTTTGCATCTCTTTTAAACATTGGGCAAGTTTGTAATAATACAGAGTTGCTTGTGAATGTAGGTTTAATGATACAAGTTATGTGATTGCTCATCACCACTCTTCAAATGCACTCATTTTGAAGAGTTGTTGTTTGAGCATAATGAAGAAGTTAATTTACGTCATGTAATACATGTACATGAAGTTTAGTACGGTGAATAGAAGTAGATTTTGACCAAAATATGTAGTAATAAGTAAATTAATTTCATAATAATTTATTTGCACTAGTGTGCAAGTGGAAATTGAAAATATTGGGAGCTTAGGGTGAACAGTTTGTAACCAAATCAATAATGCCCCAAACAATTCTTTTATACATATGCATGTCTTTATTCTCTATACAAAAAAAAGTTTCAAATGTTGTTAATAAAATCTTGAATGAAAGATGATTTTGGGTGAATTACATTCTGGAGTCAAAGAGAATAAGTGTACTTGTAAGGTTAAGCTATTACTCCCCATTAATGATCATTATACCATCAAGAAAAAAAAAAAGAGATGCCTTCACCAGTGTGTGGTAATTTCATGCTTTTATAAGATGGGTTGAGAAAGGTGGGAAAAAATTGAACACTTGGCAAAGACCTAGAACTTGAATGGAGTGGGATAGTACAGTGGTGTGAACACTTGCCTCCCACTGCTGTGCCTAAGTTTGATTCTCGAGCCTGGGATACCTGTGAATTGAGTTTGTTTTTGGTTATCGTCCTTGCTCCTAGAGATTTTCCTCAGGTCTTCCAGTTTTCCTTCCTGCTCAAATAAAAATATTCCCAATTCCAATTTGATCTGGAAGCAGTGGACAGGAAGAGCCACCTCATGGAATGTCCACTGTTAAATCATCATCCCCATTAAATAACTAAAAGGATGTACTATTTCTTATTCTTTTAACACCCCACAGGAATCCATAACCAATAAACTCTTCCAAGGTTATTAATAATTGTGTTGATACCACCAACAACATCATTTTTATAGCCTTATTGGGCTTTCAACCATTCACTAGCAAGGCAAGTCTTGAGATATGCATCAAACTGTTGAACTAATGACCAATCATCTACTTTGGTAACAATTCTAAGCTGCTTGTTAGTTACATCAATGACAGCTTCCACCAGGAAGAAATTCTGTCCCAAAGCCTAAGGAGAGAAAGGAAGAAAGCTGAATTAATAACCTTTTCAATACTATAGACTGTGGAACCACAAACAAAGCTCCCTTTGAGACAGTTGCACTGACCTTGCAAAGTACTGTAGTGGGTTTAAAAAGTAGAAAGAAATTCAACTTTCTATATGGGAAAATGCATCATGCAAATGTAAGTGATTACATGAAACACTCAACTTTTTTGCTGTATCAGTTGTACCTTGCAAGCTGGGCAAATGCTATTGTACTTGAGCATTCCTAACAGTCCGAGTTAATTGCCTATAGTTTATGTTAAAATTATATAATTATAAGATCTTGTTTTATAACTAAATGTTCACTCAGTGGTGTTACCTACCTGCTGTGCATAAAAGAAATATCTCTGCAGAGATTGACCGGGTGGGCTGCTGGCCATCAGGGCAATTTTAATTTTGGAGAAATATTTCTGAAATTCCTCAGGAGTGGATGGAACACGACCCATGGGTTCACCCCAGGAGGAACTGAAAGTATACACAAAAACAGATAAATGTTCCATTTGGTAATTTTATTATTGCCTTTCTTTGCAATCATTTATTCCTAGCTTGCTATGCTTTCTTGTCACAATTATTGTAGAATACTGAAGGTGGTTTTCAGTGGTTGGTGAGCTGATCATTCCCACTAAACACAGACTTACAGAGGGGCTGTGCTTGTCATTTCTATCTCACCTGACCCCAATACAAGCCTGCTGCAATTGACCATCCCTAGTTATTTCTTAGTACTGTGTCAATCTTTTGAATTACCCTTCTGGGAGAGTTTTCCATTTTTGCTCAAACTGAGCAGGTGTCAAAACAGGGTGATCATTGAGCTCAAGTATGTCCACTTCCTCTTCTTTCTCCTCGTCATGTTCACTTACAACATCCTCTCCCTATAAATCAGTATAAGAAAAGCTTGCTCAGATCTTTGTCTTCAGGACAAACAAAAGCCAATAACATCCTTCTGAAAGTCTAAAAGAACTGATTTACCAACAGATTGCCAACAAGAACATGGGGATCAGAAGGAGGCACATCAGGTGCTTTTGCTTCAAGTTCTTCCATTTAATCCTTCATTTCCTCTTCCTCTGTTGGATGAAAATATAAAATGTTGCTGTGTAAGCTACAATACTATAATTTGGTTTATGGTATACAGACCTGATGCATCCTTTTATTGGACTTTTATAATTTCTTAGGTAATTTTTTTAACTAAAAGTGAAATGAATTAAGACACAAATAAATTAAAGAAGGTAAGTTTCTAAAGAAACTGTGGTGCTGCATTGGCAGGAATGACAAGGTAATTGGGATTTTATCAACTGAGTTGCTAATGTAAACTGGCCACTGTAAAGAGTTTTAAAAGGTGACATTTCAAACGTTAGCCCTTTGCCATTCACTCTGATGAAGGGCTAATGCTCAAAACAACAGCTTTTAAAACTCTTTACAGTGGCCAATTTACATTTATCAACTCAGTTGATAAAACCCCAATTACTGAATTAAGGACTCAGGTAGAAACGTCTCCATACCTGGTTCCTTCTCTGTGTATGGAAGTCCCTTTATGTAGGGTATAGTCTGACTGATGAAATGAACAGATGGTTGTCCATATATAACTGACAGTGAGTTGAATTCTTTAAAGAGGGCATCCTTCAAAAAGATAAACATCTCTTAAACGAATGTATGATGTGGTGATGTACAATATATAATATAATATTTTATTACTTCTATTGTGCCTTTTCTAGACAATATTCAAAAGTGCATCACAACAATATATAACATAATAACTAAACTTACACCTCTATCAAAACTCTTACAAATCTTCCAATAATAATAATCGACTTTATTTAAAGAGGGTATTCACATAACAGCTTGCGCTGATAAACCGGTGGCCCTCAAAACTAAAGTTAGTAAGTAATACATTCTAAGCCATAGAGATTAAAAATAGAACTAACTAGTCAAACAATGTAACTATTTAAAGATTATAAGTACAATAAAACTAGATTATAATACAGCTTCAAAAGAATCAATATCTCTATGAGAATTTATATCATTCCTCATCATCATCAAATCATTCCTAAGAGAGGAGATGCTATGTTGTTTCCTAAGCTCATTTGGAAGACAATAAAGCTTACAAACCATTTACATTTAAAAATCTAACACTGAATACTAACAACTGTAGAGGAAGTTCTAAAATACTAATGGGATAAAAGAAAATTACTGAGATAAGTGAAATGATTCCTTGTAAAAAAATGTTTTAATCATAGCCTTAGAAGATTCTAAGTTCCTTGCTTCCCATGCAGACCTAGATCTGAAGTGCTCTGTCACCCACTGTTTTCTTTGTTTTCGCAATTGTGGTGGTACAGTTAGTGTACACAATTGATGTGGTAGAGCTTTATTCAGACTTGATACTATTTTGTATTTTGAGATAATTAATATATACCTAGATTTTACTTTATACCTTAGAATTCTGGGTGTTGGTAATTACATTCCATGGATTAGTGACTGGTTTGGAATCTGACCCACAAACAACCCTTTCAGCCTAATAAAAGAACAAAACTATTATTGATGAATGAGTGATTTAAATTGACCGCAAGTTGAGTTTGTATTAATTTCAATTGTGAAATAAAGGATAGACTTAATGTTACCATTACCTCTTGTGCATTAGTTTTAAGAAGTCTGTAATATAACAGGGCTCTGTCATGAACATCCATGTGAGTTTCCTCATCTGCAAAGAACAGGGTATTGAACCGAAATAGACAAAATTAGTCATCTCATGAAAATGACACTAGCTTAGAGGCCTTTACTGCCAGTGCTTTACCCAGTTGCTGTTAATTAAACCAACAAGGAGAATAGCTTTTTTTCTGGATGTTATCCCATCACAGTTGACCCTCACAGAAAATCATCAATTCTCCCTGACAGTGGCCTCTAAACAAGGTTTCCACTTCTTCAGCTTAAGAATCTTTGTTTTCTTTTGTTTGAGATGAAAAGAGAATGGAACACTAACCTACGCAGAACTTTAGTAATCGACCCAGCATGTCTTGACATTCAGGAGGCTTCTTGAAAAACAGTTTCATTGTTGCAGTAAGTAGCTGTAACTTCACTTCAGCAGATTGCTCTGAGTCGATTTTGTCCACCAGAGGTTCCAACATGTATGGACTATCAGGAACTGACTGCCAATGAGAACAAAATTTTAACTAATTAAACTTACCAGCAACCTCTACACAATTCTTGATACATTTTTCAGGCTGGTTTTCACATTACCATTGAAATGATTAAGAAATTGCACACAGAAAGATTTTATTCACAATGACTTCATTCTTACTATCACTTTCCAGAAATGACCTATGGCTTTTATCCTTTTACTCTCAAAAGTGACCAATGAAGAATTTCTCTTTTGAGAAGAAGGGTCAAGAGCAGAAGAAAAATATCTGTTACGGTACCAATAAAAGAAAATTACTGAGATAAGTGAAATGATTCCTTGTAAAAAAATGTTTTAATCATAGTCTTAGAAAATTCTAAGTTCCTTGCTTCCTGTGCAGACCTAGGTAACTTGAGAAGAAGGGTCAAGAGGAGAAGAAAAATATCAATTACTGATAAGAATATGTTCGTAAAGAGAAATTCTCTCTAGCCCTTACAGAGTGGGACAAAATAATGAGCACAAAAAAGGATAGACCTGTAGGAATCTTTCCTCCTTTTCTCCTCCATTTAGATTTGCATAATGCCTGTTGGCATTATTGAATGTGCTTCTGTTTACTTATTATTAACTTCTAGATAACGTAATGTAAAATTCAAATCTATAACTTCTACATCTGATTGTACCTCTCCATACTCTCCTAAAATCCAAATGATAGCTGATAATCCCTTAGGGTCCTGAACTATTTCCAGACATTCTGCTATCTCAGGCAAAATGGCTATGGCTGACTTTTCATATTTTAGCAGCAAGTCTGTCGATGAAACAAGCAAATGAGTCTAACTGAATAGTAACACAAAATGAGTTAAGGCAGTGTAAGGCTTAAGATGATGAATTTATCCTAAGTTACCTGATTCACTTACCTCTTAGAACCACTAGAGTCTGTGAAGTAATGTACTCAATTTCCCAGGAGAGGAATGTCAGTAATACACTGATGCAGTATTCTGATGCCTCAGGAAGACACATGGTGATCTCGCCAATAGCTTTGATTGATTTTTTGGAAATGTTTATGTCCACATCATGAACATGAGCACTGTGTGGATTTAGGAGAATTTCGTAACTATAATAAATCAAATATTGACAGACCAAACACTGATGTATGAAACTTCAACTGTTAGCTTCACTTTCAAGAGTCACCATCAAAGACTTAGATTCACGGTGATCTATTGACGATTGCAACCCTTCAACTGCTAAAATTCTAAACTTTTGTTAGAATTTCTTGATCCTTTATTCATTTGATACAGTGTAGCTTGACTTTACAATTGATAGGGACTCTAAATTATAGAACAAATAATTAATCATATACTCATCATTGCAACCATGATGAACATATTAAACATCTCTTATTACAGATCAAACACTGTCAAAGCACAGTGACTCAAACACTTAATATGCTTGCAGAGGCCCAGCTGGGGCTGCATGAATAATGAATGGCACGCAGAAATTTGTGACCGTAACCTTCCCCATTTAAAATCCTTGCTATGCTCTTGTTTCTAAGAAAAACTCAGCCCTCAGCTCTTATTCCAACACTGCAATACAGTATAACACTTACCTTAACTCAGTGACCACTTCTTCAACATTAGAAGCAGATGCGATAGTGGTGAGGATCTCAAGCTTTTTGGTTTTAATATACAGTGGATCAGTGTGCCTAATTATCAAAACAAGAGCCAAATACTTCTTTGTCAATAATGATGAAATACCATGATTACTAACAAGAACTTGCAGTTGCTTTGAGAATTACCTGGAGAAGAAGGAGCGGTATTCTTGATCAAATAATTTTGGAATCTTAGTCAGTAGAAGTTCTATACAACACAGACACACATACACCAACTCTGCATTACTTGAAGAGACAATTGTCATAAGTGGACCTATGAAGAAGAAATCGTAACATATCATTTTTCCATTAGATGCTTTCATGCACTATTACTGACAGCAGTTATGCATTTTGTGTTAAATGGCTAACACTTACAGACACAGAGTGTCTGCAGCCATCTAAAATCTGAGATCCTCCAGCTACTGCACAGAATTCAGTCCTGCTAATTTTCTGAGACAACATGTGTAGAAACTTAATCTCCTCTAAGTCTAAACTATTGACCTGCCCTTTTATTTCATATTGAACACCCTGTAAACTAAAGTAATCAATTATTTTTGTTTATCAATTGTTGAATCTACCTTTAATTCTCTTGTACACATGTTCAGTTAACTCTTTCATATCTTTTGTCAGATGGATAAAAAGTTGAATACAAGCCATCACTACTGCACTGTTAGGATGCTTGAGGCGGTCGTCAAGCAGGTTCTAACAAATTCAAATAAATCACAACTAATCAAATGCTTTACCTAGGCCTATAAGTTTAAACTCAGGAAGTATGATTGTTATCAGAATAAGAAATTAACCTGATGCAAAGACAATGGACATTTTGAAACTCTTTCAAAGTTTAAATAAAAACAATGTAAAACAACCATTATACAGTATATCACCTATGATCAAAACAGTGGAATGAGGAAGAGATCACACAGTCATTATATACATGCCACTTTTACTAACCATTATTTCAAACAATTCATCTGTATCACATGGTTTATAACGCTTCATTAGTTCTATAAGCAAACTCTGCCCCCATCCACTGAAGGATTTTAATCTGGTCAATGACATAAAACAAACACATTGATCAAGAAATCATTGACAAACAGTTTTGCACAGTTTGAAATTTCTCATCATCTATAACAGATGTAAATAAGTAAATAAATGTAACCCATTCAAAAAAAGCTCCCCTAATTTATGAGGTAAAAAAGGTAAAGACCACTCAGGAGCCATGTGGCTCATCGGGCTGGTGCTTAACTCCGGTTTCTGTAGCACGAAGTGACTAGGAGTATTTCTACTCCCCCTCTACATGGGATGCTAGTCCATCGCAGGGTTACCCCTAGCATTAAATTCACTGGTACTCATTTAATTCTCCTGGGTGAGGAGAGGCACTGTGAGAGTAAAGTGTCTTGCCTAAGAACACAACACGATGTCCCTGGCTGGGGCTCAAACCTGGACCACTTGATCCAGAGTTGAGCGCACCAACCAAGAGGCCACTGTGGCCTCCACTTAATTTATAAGACCAATTCAATTTTCCTTGTATATTACATTGCAAAGCATAAGGAGTATTTGATTTTGCATAATTATGAGTCAGTTATATTAGGCTAATTGACAAAATACACTCATTCAAATTTTAAAATCAGCTTTAATAGACCTTCATGAAGCTTAAAATTCAACTATAACTTATTTTTATCTTAGCAAATCATTGTTACCTCTTAAGCATGTAATGAGCAAATTTTTTGTTCACTTGTACTCCACCTTCAGCAGCAAGGATTTCATCCAAAGCTGAAATAGCATTGCAAACTACCTAAAGATGGAAAAATTGTTAGACATAATTTTACCCCATTAATGCTGACCTGCTGGATACATTTTGCTCAGAAGCTTTTTACTCCTGGGGCAAACTGGTGTATCAAAATTATCATGATCAAGATTTATAAAGATATCCATCATAAATGATTTTGAAGTAGGTCGTATATGTCAGATGGAATTGCAACACATCAAAAATGGTAATGGTAAAGAATCTGATCCCACCAAGGCATCTACTGACATGTTAGCCGACACACTACCAATGCATCAGCTGACACTCTACTTAAGCATTGGTAAGATCAACCAATGCGTCGGCTAAATGCATTAGCCAACACACTACCAACATAATGCTAACGCATTGCCTGACATGTTGGTGGAATCGGATTCTTCACCTTTACCAAAATGGTAAAGGTAAAGACTGGCCAATGTGTTGGCCAACACATTGGTGGGATCAACTTCTATACCTTTACCTCAAAAACTGTTGGCAAGCTAACCATAATAATAATCATTACCATAACCCGTATGTATGATGCACATACCTGAGGATCTGGGTCGGTCAATAGTCGGCAAAGTTTGTCTATGATTCCATTATCTGTTTTGATGCAATACACCAAAAAATACTAATTAAGGTTAGACACACATCACTATAGCAAATGAATGGTCTTCATCAATATTTTTCCCATTGTAATCAATGGAAAGTTATTAACAAAACTTCAGCAAGTTACCCTGTAAGAGAGGGGAATATTGGATTTATTAAGTCATTAGGTTTTTCATGAATACTGTACCTTCAACAAAGTCAGGAATAAGATGGTACAATTTCACACATCCCATTACTGCACACCGACGCACATAAGAACTTGTATCTCCTAGACCAGCCAGAAGAGGCTCTACAATGTATTCCACAAGATCAGGCAGCCTATAGGAGTCAGCAACAATAAATCAATCAATCATATTCTGTGCAATACCCTGTACTTCTGCAATCAAATGATTATTTACCTCAATGAGCACATGCTTCTCAGGGCAAGACCTCTGACCATAGCACTGCTGTCTTGAGAATCTTTCCTCAAGGTGTTAATGGTCAACAAAGCCAGTTCAGGGTTAGATTGTGCATAACTACAAATGTACAGATACACCAGCTTCTTCTGAACAAGATCATGGGTGGCTCCAGCCTGACAAAAGCAAAATAAAATGATTGGCTGTCAGTAACCCTTCAACTTCCTTATTATTAACCTTTCATTAAAGAGGAACTGATAAATAATTCTTCCCCCTAACTGTTACTATACACCTCTTTATCAAGTTGTAAAGAGGATTGGGTGCTAAATCAGGATAACTCTCACAAGCCCGACCTCAAGCCTGTACTTATAGAGAGCAAAAACTATGGATGAGAAGAGATTGGAATGTGACAGCATAAATTATGCCTCACAAGTGTAGCATGTGAGAGGTTTACTCATGCTCCAACATAATTTATGTCCCAACCTTCCTTCATGCCTCTACCTAAGACTAAACAGAAAAAAAAAAAGAAAAAATATTTGTTTTGTTCGCAAAGTAAGCATCTGTGGAAAGGGTATGGATATTTTCTGATAACCATTCTATGGTAAAGCTAGTAAAAACGAAAAAAACAGACAACTATTCTAGGTCTTCTAGTTCTACAATACCATAAAAGTGTCTCTGGATATTGTTAAAAAAAAAGGAACAAATGAGTATATATACCTTTATCATGTCCATGAAGAGAGAGGATAAGTCCATTCCCACAGTCATGCACGATATCACCTTCTGGATAACTTTCTTATAACGTGAAGCATCTCTCTGCACTTCTGGTGACTGTAAATTTTTCTTTAATTCGCTCACTTCGCCTTTCTTGTTTGACTCGCTAAAAAATGTTGTTGAGCTTGTCGCCATAATTTCCTCAGGCTTTTGAAGACGTTTAAAATGCACTTTCAGTTCTTCTCCTGTGCTCATGCCTCACCACCCGGCCTGAAAGAAAAGAATATACTGCCATACTTTCCACATGAGCTTGGTTCCCTGATGTTCTGAAAAAAATACAGTCCATGTTTTGTACATGAAGTAAAAATACAGTAATGTTTCAGTTTCCAGTCTTTATTGTCTATTTGAGAAGGCCTGGTTACTGAAACTACCATAGGGCATCTTTGACCTTGACATCGTAACAATATACAGTAGTTACTTTGTTTATATGATGGGTGGATCATCTCAAATAGAAATGTATCAGAACTGATAATATTTAATATATATCCTTATTTAAAAGGAAGAAGTGATTTTGACATCGTCATTACAATGGCTTCTGCGAGAGAAGGAAAGGGAACGACCCGTGTTGGTTTTGTATGTCAGAGATGTTATCAACCACTGAAATTGGATCCTTCCTTGTTGTCTTTGGACGAAGAAACTATCGCTGAGCTTACAGGTTAGACACAATTATCACCAAATTAAATAACGGAGCGAGCCCTTCCCCCGCCATAAATAATGAAGGCTCCCTAATTTTGTTCTGTGAGGTATCAGTGACAACTTTGATTTAGCTGCTTGTTGGTACAATTCTTTGAAAAAGCAATCGAACTAAGAAATTTCTGGAATACTGAATTTCTGCCAGTACAGTTTGTACATGGGCAAACTTGTAGTGTTTATTTCCTTGTGGAATCAACTTTTGCCCTTGCATAGAGACGTACTTAAACTCCAGCTGTTCTCATGCTTATTATAATTCTACCGTTTTAAAACTATCATCGCTTGTTAGTTATACTGTTGTCTATTAATACTAAATTAATATTAATAAAATTAATTTAATTAATATTAAACATGCAATACAAAACAAATCATTACTTTCACATTTGACAGCTTTGGTAGCCATGTCTACGTATGCTCTTGTGAGTCCCTTGTAGATGTGGGTAATTACTTATGAGCCTTTTTTTAGCATCAAAAGTAAATAAAAATCTGTGTCATCTCGGCATTTCCATTTCCAGTACCATTTCCTGAATTTGTAGCCCAGACTGATGGTGGGGAAGACACAACTGGGAAGTATGACCCTTCTTTATGTGAGGTACGATAATCCTTTATAAATTTACATTTCTTATATAAAAAGTAAGTTAAGACTAGTTTTGTGGCATGATCCAGATTAGATTTAGAAAGAGTTACAATAATCACAACTTATAATTGCCAGATGGGTTTTCTCAGAAAAAATTTGAATATATCAACAAAGTTGAAATGGTAAATTAGCCACCGTTAGGATTATAAAAGCTGACGTTTCGAGTGTTAGCCCTTCATCCGAGCTAACGCTCAAAACGTCAGCTTTTATAATCATAACGATGGCCAATTTACCTTTTCAACTTTGTTAATATATTCAAATTATTTTGTTACCCCCACCGACGCAGCCCTAAACAGTTTCTTTAGAAACTATCAGCCTTTTTTCTCAGAAAAGACATTTGATCAACTAGCACAACAAATTTAGTATGTGAAGATTTGGCGTCAAAATTTGTTGTTAACCTTGTTTCATTGTTTTTCTTGCCTAGACTGCTGTCAATGTAGATGGAGATGATACAGTAATAAGGAGAATCATTTCTCCTGCAAGGTAAATTTCCCTTTTTTGGCTTACATTTGGTTATCTTTAAATTGCACGATTCATATGGCTTTTTAACATGTAACTCTGCTTTTTTTTTAGACTTCAGTCACTGGAGGGTGGTTTTACTCTGATTGGAGACTCACAGCCCATAAATACAGAAAACCTCAGCGACAGGCTTAAGGTACAGTAAGTCAGAATTTAATAATGGTGTGAAGCAGGATGTTTTATCTGGTAACCCCTTAAGAGATTTTTTCTGTAATATGACTTTCTCAAAGGTGTGTTTAAGGATGAGGGCATGCAGTGGCCATACAATATGTGATTCTACTGCATCATTTTGAATAGTGTATGATAATTTTAATATATTATTTTTTCTGGGTAGTTAAATGGGTTTCAACAGATTGTCAGGGTAATCTGATGAAATGCTGAGTGAGTAAACAGTGAGTAAGGTCCAGTGTGCTGCAGCTCCATCTGCTCCACTTGCTCAAACAATTTACTCTTAATTAGACCAAAATAAAATCCCCACAACTTAATTGTCAGAAATTTAACTCACTATACACCTGTCCGCCCCCTCCGTTCCTCAAGGTCCATCAGTCTGTCTGTCCCAAGATCTAGAACCTCTACCTATGGCAACAGATCCTTTGCATGTGCATCCCCCCCCCCATGCTTTAGAACAAACTTCCTGATTTTATAAGATATTCCGAAACCTCAGATTCCTTTAAAACCAGGCTCAAGACTTACCTTTTTAAAATTACTTTTAATTTATAATTTAATTTTTGTCTTATTTTGTAATTACTTTAAATCTTATGTAAAAGCATTGAGACTTGTGTATAATGCATTTTTAAGAACTGTATTATTATTATTATTATTATTATTAGATAGTCCTTGAATGATACAAACAAATTTGTAGGGTTTTATACACATGACTGTGTTTGTTTCTTTGTAAAGGTCACAAGCCAGTTGTTTGATATAATGTCTGGACAGTCAACTATTGATCACCCTTTGTGTGAGGAATGTACAGACACTTTATTAGACCAGCTAGACCAGCAGCTTAAGATTTCGGATGATGAACTCAAAGATTACAAAGTCTTTTTTGAGAAGCTGAATGACAAACCATCGCTAGATGGTGAGGCCTTGTCAAAGGAACTTGAAGAACTTAGAAAAGAAGAACAAGAACTGATAAAGAAATTAGAAGAAATTGAAATGGAAAGAAGCAAAGTGGCTGAAAAACTTGAGGCAGAGAAAGAGAGATCTAAGCAATTGGAGATTGAGGAAAATAAGTATTGGATGGAATTCAGTGAGTATCAGAAGGAACTCTTGGAATCTGAAGATGAGCAGCAAAGGTGGGTTCATGTTAACTGTATGTTTAAGAAGCTTTGTTATGTGCTGGAATTTTGGAGAACTGAGGTGGTATTGTTTTTTTTTTTTTTAATTGGGTGGGGGTGTAACAAGTTATTGGGAAACCTGGCACAAAGAGGGTGTGGGGGGAGGGGGGGTTTCCCCCTTTGATAGACTAGCATTCCATACCAGGGAGAATTAGCAGTACTCTTTTTTGTTTAATGTTATTGGAATAATTACGTTTAAGTTCTTGCAGTATCTCTCACCTTTACCTTATTAAATATCTACATCCATTAGAGTACTGATAGACTAACAGATATAGTTTGGTGTTATTTGTGATGTGTGTACAGCCCAGTGAACATTAGTGTTTTTTGATTGTCTATTTATTTCTGGTTTTCTTTTTTCTTCCCAGTGTTGATAATCAGATGAGATATGCCCAAGCACAACTAGACAAACTAAAAAAGACAAATGTATTTAACAGTACTTTTCACATATGGTGAGTTGAAAATTTACATCATCACTGACTCACAACAAAAATAGAGAAATTAAGAGAGAATGTAGTACAGACTGTAAAGTTTTCTTGCCTCTCACATGGCAAGCTATTTCATCAGCTGCAAAGGTTACTGATACTATGCAATTGAGTGCATTGTAAACCTGCTCTTTTTGGTAGTGATAAAAGCTTAATTAGATTTATAAGTTCTCTTAAGGTGGTTTAAACCAAATTAAATTAAATTTTTGGATAATGATGCAAGCTTGACATAATCTCTCTGTAGGCACAAAGGTCACTTTGGAACAATCAACAACTTCAGGCTGGGTCGACTGCCAAGTGTGCCCGTAAGTTTTACTCTAGCACCTGGAAGTGTTATGGCCCTAATCTTTTAAAACTTATAAAATAATTACAAATATTAAGGGATTAAAGGTATTTGTTGTGTCATTTATTGCAGGTTGAGTGGAGTGAAATAAATGCTGCATGGGGTCAAACAGTCTTGTTATTACATTCTCTTGCCAGAAAGATGAACTTAACATTTGAGAGGTAAGTCCAAAGGAAGAGCAGTCCAAGTGAAATATTCCTAGAATAAAATTTAGAAGTCTAGGCCATAGGGATAAATTATGAATTCAAAATTCTGACAGCAGTCTCAAAATTATAGAAATCTTTCAGTTTTCTGCACATGCTTTTGCAGACATTTACCTTCGTCATATCATATTTTACAATCAATATAGGTATCGTTTGGTTCCTTATGGAAATCATTCCTATCTAGAATCACTGACGGACAAGTCAAAAGATCTCCCTTTGTAAGTATCAAACATGTTTCTCTGTTATGAATACCTTAAATCCTTTGTGAAGCCCCCCCCCATCTAATAAGCCACCCCCTCTGATAGGTCCCCTTCTTTAGAGGAAGAAATTAAGTCTCCCCCCTCTAATATGCTATCCCTCTAATTAGCCACCCTCTTTAGAGGGTGAAATTCATTAAACTCCTCCCCACCCTTTTAGTTTGCCATTTTATTATGTTTCTGCTGGACTGATTTACAAGATCATTATGACAAATCATACAACTCTTAAGACTCTACTGAGGATTTCGAAATAAAAAGAATGTAAAATGAGAAGAATTTTTCAATAAATACAGTACATCATATCCTATTGTATCCTGGTAGTAAACATCGGGCTAAACTAATGAGCCTCCCACCTCTAATAAGCCACCCCACCCCTATAAAGTACCTGAAAAAAATAACCCCCCGGGGGCTTATTAGAAGATTTACGGTATATATTACCATTTTTTAGCAGAATTGCAGGTTAAAACTCAGAGTACAACTTATTTCTCTGATAACCTGAGGAATATTTGAACTTTCATGATGAAATCAATTTCGTTAGCAACTCGTTTGACTCTGGTCGTGAAATACAGTGAGTAGAATGTTATAATAATTACTTTAGATGTCATAGTTTTTTTTTAACGTACTGCTGAGCTTGTTTTCATAAGGTATCCTTTATAACCAACAATTAAAGTTCAAACAGATAAGAAAATCTGTAATGTCAACCGAATTTCTTTTCAACAGATATGGCTCTGGTGGATTTAGATTCTTCTGGGACACAAAGTAAGTGACAAGAGAATGTAAAGGTTTTCTTTTCAGATCTGGTTCGTGTCAAACTAGATTGCGGCTACAGAAAAAACATTCACGAATTCAAATTTTAAATTAAGAAGAACGTTATTAATGTGGTCTAATCTTTTGACATGGGAATACCCCTAAATAGTGAGATATAAATGATACGAAGAATTAGCAAATGAATTATGGTTACGTTCGCAAATCATGAATGTCACTTTTTATTTTTTCTTCTTGTGAATCAAGAACATCATTAGAGAACATCATTTGAGATAGCTAGAGGTTGTGAATTAATCCAACCATGTCAATATAAAGCTTTTTCAAAGGACCGTGTCCTTTAGTTTACCACTCGCTAACGATATCCATGGGAATGAGATCGTTTCATCGTTAAAAAATTGTAAACTTACCTGAGATTGTTTTCCACGTGAGTTCTCGACGTTTCCAATGCTTGCACAACTCACTCATCAAATTTAGAGTTACTTTCCTTGTAGTCTTTCGCTGTGGAACTCGTATGATGAAAGACTTCATGTTTGAAGATTGGTTTCGAACCTGGAGCCCAATTTGATGGAAAATTTACCCTCAAAATCTCTTAACTGAAGTAGAAAACACATGCTTGCCCTGAGAATATTTAAAATGCTCGTGTTTCTCGTATTAAGACCAAAGTTTTCCCGCCATAGGACTGCGTGCTTACTAGTCTGCTTTTCTCTGATTGGTCTTTTTAAAATGAAAACGGACGATGACTGGCTGGTTGTAATAATGAAAACATGGAAATCTCGCAGAAAGATTTCCAGACTCGAATTTTCTTTTAATCATTGCTCAAATTTTACTAAAATGTGCTACATTTTCGTACTCTGATGTATTTTATACAGGTTTGATCAGGCAATGGTTGGATTTTTAGACTGTCTACAACAGGTATTTTGATGTAATATTAGAAATACGGAATAAAAACATTTCTCTCTTTCTCGCAAGTACTAAACAAACTACAAAGATGTTTAGCGAAAACTAGCGAACAAACTCGAACACAGACAATGAAAGGCTGTGGAAAAAGTTTATTTGTTTGTAGGTTAAATTCTTTTACAGCAGATCATTGAAACAGTGGAAACGTAATGTCCTTAGGAATTCTTTATTTAAGAAGTCCCATAGACGCTCGATATTGAGCGGCATTTTAAAAACTATCTACTGGCAAAAACTACACTCGTAAAGTCGAAAACTGCTTTTTTTTTGTATCCTTAGTTTAAAGAAGCTGTTGAAAAAGTGGACAAGAGGTTTTGCCTTCCATATAGGTGAGATAGTGTAAATATATACCAATAAAACAAAAAAAAAAGCGTTTGTCATGTCTTTCATGAACTACATTTTGCTAAAGAATATTATTTTGGGAAGTTCTGAGCAATTTTTGTTCTTACATGTATGTGCAAGCATAATTTATCGAAGGTTCTGTCTGCGGTTTAATGTAGCAGATCGCTAGTGTAAATTTTGAAAAAAAGTTAAAATTCAGATTCAGTTTTATTCGGGTTCTCGGGTGTCACGCATTGTTTGACTCTCACGATTGTGTGACAAATTGGAATTTTGCTTTCATGACGTCAAGCATACGCCACTAAATATTTGTCTCCAACTGTACTAATTGGTAACGAGCATTCATGACGTAACTTTTGCGTCACTAATTTCTCATTAAATTAGCCTAATAATCAACAGTTAATTAGTTAATTGATCGTTACGTTTATGACGTGTCCCCACTTGATTAAGTCATTTGCTGCAAGTCTCCAAGCTGTTCAGACGTACTTTCTGCGCTCCGTGAAAAAATTCGCCAGAACAGTTAAAAAATGGCCAAAGCTAAAACCCGACGTGTTGCTAAAAAGTCAGCATTAGTCAAGAAGAAGAAGGCAGCCAAGAGGCCTGCTCTTACAAGCCAAAAGGTATTAGCTGCCATCGCCGCCTTGAAAGATCGTAATGGCTCAAGCGCGAAAGCAATTATGGCCTACCTCCACGCGCAACGTGGAACAAAGAAAGTTACACCTTTTCAAGTGAGAATCGCGTTGGCGCGCGCCGTCAAAGACAAATCACTGGTGAACAATGGAGCTTTGTTTAAAGTTGTTGCTGCTTCCAGCAAGTCGCGGTCGCGCTCCAAATCGCGTTCCAAATCCCGCTCCAGATCACGCTCTCGGTCAAGATCAACCTCGAAGACTAGATCCCGTTCTCGATCCCGATCAAGGTCTAAGAGTCCGGGCAGGAAATCGGTGAAGAAAGTCACCAAGAAGGCTAAAAAGGCGAGAAAGGCCAAGAAAGTGATCCGAAAGCGCAGGGCCCCGGCTAAAAGACGCGTCGGAAAGAGGAGATACTACAAAGGAACTAAGAAGGCGACCAAGAGAGCCGCACCCAAGATAAAGCGCAAGATTCGCAGGAGGCGACGATCCGCCCGCAAGTGAACTGACTGACTTTATAAAAACAAAACCGCCATGTCTTTTGCTTTCCCTTCTAAGAACACTCAAAGACTTTTAAGTCTCTACAAACTCTCTTAAGAGAGCAAACGCCTAAAACGCTGAAGAACTGTTAGTAAGCGAAGTTTACAGGATCCTCTGTTTTGTCATCTTTCCTTTTTTTTAACTCAAAGGATTGTACATACAAGAAAAATGATTAAACAGTGAAGGCGAAGACTTGTTTGGTGTTTGATTTCCTTTCTATAACAGGGGAAGAAAAGTGATGATTTTTACGTAGAAAAGACGGGATCTAACTTTTCCTTAACGAAGAAGCGACAACAATCAAAATTTTTAATTAGGAGGCACTTATGTTATAAAGCATGAGTGGGATACTTTTAAGTCGGCGCGCCCGTGGCCTTTTTTTGCGCGCACCTTGATTTTGTGCGCATTTGGAACCGTCCGCCAAAATGCTGCCATAGACAGAAACTTTAAGTAGTTTTGATCGTGTATTTGTTGTAAATTAAAAACACAAGGTTGCGCGCGCGTTAATTCTGTGCCATTCAACGCGTCCCAGATGCTGCCCGAGGCGTCTTCATTGAAGGACTTCGTCCTAAGTTTCCGTGGGAAAATTTTTACGAACTCATTTGGATCTGCTTCAATTTCCACGAAGCTTAATATTTGTGTTTTTTTCAAACGATAGTTTTAGGAAAGTTTCTGATGAATCGATGTCAATACTGCACGTGCACTTAACAAGCGCGTGATTTGCAATGTTGTCACAGTCTGTGTTACAATTGGCCAAAGATCGACGGCGAGACTTAGTAAGCAAACGGCCAGAGGTAAAAAAATAAATAAATAAAATCATAGTTAGTTGAGGGGACTATGATCAAATCTGTAGTGGAATTTAATACGCCCAGAGCCTGCGCATATAAGTGCAACAGGGTTCACTGTTCTTCAAAGACGATGCTTTGAAAAGGTCACACTAGTTTACGTAGTTCCATCCGTTTATCTAGTTTTGTTATGGTAAATTTCGTTCTGTTTCGTTTCAGGATGGAAAAAGGAAAAATCCACGATTCAAGTGGGAATGGCGGAGCTTTTTCCATCAAGTAGGTTGACAGATTTTTTTCTAGGAAGTATAAGGGTAACAGTGAAAAAGTGAACAAAGTTTTCCATTTGAATGACGCAAAAACAAGTAATTACTGCTACTAATCAAGGAAGAGGATACTATCTCAAAAAAGCAATGAGAACTTAAACTGCTTGAAGCGCGGGAAATTGCGGGAAAGCGCGAGTGACCAAGCCGCGTTTGGTTTTAGTTTTGCATCTGATTGGTTGAGCGGATGGCGCGAATTTTGCGGAATAATCACCGAGCGAAGAAATCAAAATCAACACATTTCGTTATTACTTTCGACACACGATGGAAAATTTCTCCAAACTAATACTTGGAACCTATCTCTGTATGCAAAGCACTTCTACACAGAATTTAACCGAGACAAGCGTCATTGGATCTTTGTTCTTGTTTCTGTCTCATCAGAATTCAGTTCAACTCCGAGGAGCAGTGGACCAAGGCGTTAAAATTCGTGCTGACCAACTTGAAGTGGGGACTAGCGTGGGTTTCGTCCCAGTTTACTGAAAAGTGACTCTGTCAGGCGGTCAGCCAAGTTTATGAACTTCTGCAAGAAGTTCATAATGTACGAACACAGAGTTTGACTTTGAATAATTAGTCTTGAATGTAGTCTGTGGTTTGCCTTTGAAGGAGTAATATAAACAAGACTCTTAAAAGAGAAAAATTTCAAATTCTCTAAAGTCCAATGTAGATCTTTTCAGAGCATTTCACAAGGCTTGAACGATTCCAATTCTCATAGTCATCGTCTTAAAACATGAATTATCCTTTCTTGTGACCACAGATTTCTCTTTCTTTGAATTTCAGTTTTGAGAATTCCACTCCCCCTTATTTCACGATTTATTGATGTTGAAACAGAAACTTAAAAGAGAAATAACAAAGAAACAAACCAAAGTAAAAGTAAGGCATGTTTGTCGTATATTAGGTGTGTCGATTTCTTTTATTGTCGAAAAAAGGATTTTATACAAAAAAAGAAAGACTCTAAATTGTTGTACATCTATTTTGTTGTATGCGAATAAATTCACAGTAACGCATATGTTTACATATTTGTATTTCCTTAGTTTCGTGCACTGTGCGACGGGCAGGATAGCCCTTGATAATCTATACTCCTTTGCCGTGTAGCGCGTAAGTGTCCAACTTGTCCAAATCATCTCCAGCAATGAGTGACAAAGAGACTCCTATACTTTGACTACAATCATAATTAATTTGTTTCCAACATACAATCTTAAACATGTCAAGGTGATAACGTGATCAGACGGAATGACTTAAAAAAGGATTATAAGGGAAGACCTGATTGCATAGTTACTGCTTAGAGTAAGTTAGACCCAAGCTCCTAGTTAGGAAATTTGTCATGAGGCGGTAAAGATGGCGCCGCGTATGAAATCCAACTATCCCGTGATCCTTATCGGTGTAGTACTGCGGAAAGAACACAGATAATACGAAGTCGTGACGCTTTAATGCAGAACACACCGTGAAGTGGCCGGATTGGAGCATTTTGCTCGCGGGTCTGTATTCTTCAGCAAGACACTAACCCTGACGTTGCATTTCTTCACCAGGGAATGTACAAGTGAGGGGCGGGGAAGAGGGGGGGGTTGGGTGGACGGGAGCAAGAGGTTAGTATTGAGATTAACAAACATCTCATCCAGGATGGGCTGAAAACTGATCAACGCTGTTTCTACCGAACGTTACAAGAGCAGATAAATTAATTTACGAAATCGTCAGTCTTATCGAGCCTCAAGATCTGCTACTTCTTACACGCATGCTTCTATGGTGCGTTTAGGCTTAGTCCTTTGTCACGGGAATCGGTGCATCTGCATTCCTATCTCGGGAGCATCGTGGGCGCAACGAAATGCTCACGGCTGGGGACTAAGACTTAGCGGGGTATGAACCGGGTGGGGACCGCAGATGCGTCTGCAGAGTTAAGAACAGGTCTCACCTGAACTCTGAACTTGACCTCTGCTTCAGTTAGTGCTCTGACCATCTGTGCTGTGTGCTGGTAATGAACGTTGTCTTTAAATATGAAAAAAAATAAATAAATAAAAAATACAAACAACAGACAAAAAGTAAGAGAGAAACACAAAAACTTCACATCGCAATTTAAGCTAATTTAAACTAAGGTAATCCATAAACAAAACCACAAAACACCGTGAGCCAGATAAAAAAGAAAATGTTTGATACTTTGGTGTAACAGGTCGTAGATATTGTCCCTCAAAACTCGTAACTAATGGTATCTAATGGAGGGCTTTTCTCATTGGTCCATGACGATTTTTACTGTGTAGCACAATTCGATAGCAGTATCGATATTGCATCCTTACCATCTGCAGCGCCGTGGATTATGAGGTAGTCCACGTTGGAAAATTTGGCAGCCCTGGAGAGTAGCGATGTGTACTAATAAAAATCAACATTATCGAGAAAGCATTAGCTTTTGCCTACCGCCTTTTCAAGTATTCATAACCTCCCTTTCTGCCTAAAGAAGACGATATGACGGGATAAAGCTGCAACCTGGTAAAATTATATCATGCTCAAAATGCAAACTGATAATTTACAAGTTGGTTTATTCAGGGAGTAATTTCTAAGCCATCTTAATAAAATGTTCAAAAATGGATATGAAACTTACTCTGTAGCCTTCTTCGTTCTCCTTTGGAACACCCATGTAGCGCTCTGTGTAAGCTGAATCTACAAAATTCACCATAGGAAAGATTAAAAGGAAAGTAACGCGCTTTGATTCCTTGCGTGACACAGCTCCGGTCACGCAAGCAACGTTTCCTTACCATAGTATCTCCAATCCGTGACAGGTGCCACAGCAATTCCACACTTAAATACACTGGAATTCTTGCTGAGAACGTAACTTGTCAAAAAGCCGCCAAAGGACTACAACCAGAAGAAAAATCTGTGTTAGTCCCCCCCATCCTTAACCACGCTCGTTCCATGACAACCTTTCTTAATCAATTATTTTTCTATGAAACTTCAAAGCGAACTACTTAAGGCCCTTGTCTGTATCAAGGAGAACGACCGCAAACGTTTTAATTGTTAGTCGGGGTTAGGCGATCATTGTACACTCCAGGAAAGGTGGTGTAAATACTTACCCAACCCCAGACTGACAATTTCTTTGGATCGACGTACTTCTTCTCTTGCATGTACCTACGTAAGGAAAAGAAGGCAGGACTTGGTTTTGTGCGTCAGTAACAAAATAGATGTTGGCTCAGACTCGTACTCAGACCTCCTACGGCCAAGCGGTTGCCTTCATTTCAGTCACAGTTTACACGGTAGGATCTGGGTACAAGACTAATGTTGGCCCAGTTGAGCGGCTTACCGTCCAGCCGTGATGACATCTTGAGCTTCATATTCTCCCAGTAACTTGTACACAGCTTGTTTGAAACTAGAAAAGAGCAAATTCTTCGTTAGTAAATTAGTCAGTACCTACTGATCATGACGACTTAAACGACAATGATTAAATATGATTGAAGATGAAAAGGGGAGGCTGACGAAAAGTTGTCGCTAGCGATGATAAGGTTTCTGAGGAAGAGAGACAGGAAGGAAAGGAATAAGGAGGAAAAGAGACAAATGGAAGTGAAAAGAGGAGAAGGACAAGAATGGTCCTCAACCCATCCTGACGATGAGGATGATGATGACGATGGAAAGTTGATGACGAAAATGCGGAGGAAAATGACGAGGAGGATGAATGATAGAACAGTAATGAGGATGACGACGACGGCGGCAACGATGATGACAACGATGAAGATGACGAGGAGAATGAGGAGAAAAATGAATCAGACACACATACGAAAAAAGAAGAGGACATGATGGATAAAGAAGACGATGATATCAGATGTTAATAATGATGATATCAGTATTTCACCATCTTTCACTCACCTTTCTCCTCTATTCCCAGTCCCTCGCCCGTCCACCATTACCACAATAATATCAAAGTTACTGACCAAATAGGCAACCCAGCCAAGTTGTCTTAAGAACAGTTCGGTAACCTAAAACACAAAAAAAATAAATTCATGCCAATAGTAGATAAAATTGTAAAAGACGCGACAGCCTGAGGTTGAGCTTGTGAGGTCCTCGGCTTGCGCGAACTGGGTTCGAGTCTTCGCCAAGGCAATGTGTGTTTTTTTTTTTTTTTCGCGTAAGACACTATGCTTTCACAAGTGCGATTTTTCGGCAATTGTTCAGAACACACTCAAACCATTATCATTGACAACACAAAATAATATTCAAATTATTGCTTGAAACAAACTCTTTGTGATCCAGGACCGCCGTACCTGATAGAGAGAAAAAAATAGACATGTGAGAGCAATTTAACACACAGACGCGAATTTAGCGTTCGAGAATTTCCCAGCCCTATGCACACGTGAAAGAGGAGTGTGCCAAGAGTTTAAAGACAATGTTTACTTACACCTCAAAATGAACGGCATATTTCTTGTTTTCGTCAAAATTTGGAGGGAGAAATTCAGTGGCTAATAAATCTGAAAATTGTGAGGCGAAGCAAAGAGTATCGTTACCAAAATACCTTTACAAAAAATAATGGCTAAAATGGAAATCGCTAAGTATCAAACTACACAGAAAATTATTACACTCGCACCTGAGAGCATGATCTGAAATTTGTCATATCCCCAATCAAAATTTATGCCATAAAATTTTTTAGTCAGTCAGGCTCGGCAGATGTGCGTTCGTTCGATCGATGTCAGTATCCAGGCAACTGCATACCTACCCTTCCCCTAACCCAGTCGACTGATTACAAGTTAAATTTACCGTTGGGTTAGGGGAGGGGTGGGTACGCAGTTGCTCAGATAAAGAATCTCACCGTATTTTCCAGCGGGAATCTTAAAGTTCCGTCTTTTTGGTATGGCAAGTTCTGACATCTTCTTTTCTAACGCCCTGTTCATTTCAAGCTCTTTGTACCAAGCAGCTGAAAGAAAGCATTTCTTTACGAATTACAAAAGACGAATAAATGTTATACATAATTAAGAGGGGCAGTTTCCCAAGAAAGCTCTAAACAGATTAATTGATGAAAAAAACTAAAGAATTTACTTACAAGATTTGGTTTTGTGTAAAGTAACCCTTGGGAGATTCGGTCCTTGGAAACAAAGTAAAGAAAAACATACTAATGTTATCTTAAATCTAAATGTTCCAGACTGTTACTCCGCCTGAGGTAAGAGACCGAACAGTTGGTTGTTGTACCGTTCATGCAGCAGATTTCTTCTCCGATACTCGTGATTGAATTTCAAGCCATTTTTTGAGAGCTTACCGTAGCAAGTTAGAATGTACCAGCTGGCTTCGAGACTAAAGCTTGCTGAAAAGTATTTGCAGTCCCCATCTAAACAAAAAAGGAAAATACAAAGTCGTTCTAAGATAAAGCAAAAATTCTTTAAGCTCAAGTTATCCGCAACGGACTTTACGATTTTGTATCCCAAGCTTACACTTATTGCACACTGAATTTGTGACTAAACATGTGATACCATTAAGACTGACTTTCCTCCGAGCACCTTTGAGTTAGCAAAGAAATGCAGTAACAGGAAAGAGAAGTATTATTGCTCTAGGTGAAATCGACATTCCGTTTCTTTCCCATGAATTCCGAAAAAGCATCATGTACCCTATTAAGTATTGAATTAAATGATTTACTTACTTTTAGCCCAAGGTAAAGAGCATGACAGACATTTCTTCTCTTTAGTTTTTACATTCACGCTGATAAGTAACGGATAAGAAAAACAAAAGTTAGTCATTCTCTTTCTTTTCGTCATCTGGGCCGATTTCCTACGAGATCTGAAAAACCGAACTTGCAGCCTTCACTGAATATAAGAAGTTGAGTGTTTTCACCTAGAATGACGTAAAACCTGCGAAAAAATTTGGATAGGATAACTGCGATAAGACCTGGGGCGAGCCTTGTCACGCAACGGGTTCAAAGGCGTTTATATGCAGACTTCTGGCGTCGATTTTGCTTGTCGAGAGCGTTTTCTTGAGTGACAAAGAAAGACAGATGGAAAATTTCAGTTCAACCGTTGAATCGGTACTGGTTGTATACTATACTACACGAGAGTTGAAAAAGAGCATAAGACTTGTGAAAAATATTACAAAATTATTGACTTCCACCTGTAAATGTGTCTGTCTCTGGGCGATGTTTCTGCACTCTGAAAATACCTATGAATCAAAACGAGAGATATATCAAGAAAAAGAAATACATTCCATCAAATCCCCCGCTAAAACACGGGGTTGAGTTGCTCAGTTCGATCAAAAAGACCTCCCATTGGAAAAATTTCGTTGATGACAAATCTACAATCAGTGGGC